TGAAAAAAATAATTTTTTAAATATACTTTTAAATAATTAAAATCCTACCTTTCTTTTTCGATTTTCCAATTCTAACAGCCATTTTGGACGATCATTTGTGTCTGTATCATTCATTTTCAATTAATTCTTTTAAGGATTAATATTTATAACTATAATTTTTTATACAGAAAGCATTAAAACTGAATAAAGTAAAAGTGTTTTGCAGTTACTTGACACTTGTACAGATGTGTGACTCACCACTATGGCTCACCAAAGACCAGTGCTTATGTTTTCCCCTTCTACCACGCTTAACGCTAAGTGGGGCCCACTCACATACTCTTTCTTCAAAAAGATTTCACATATACACATACTATATAACATGCGTGTTCTTCACAGTGGTACTCAGCAAGTGTTATCATTCTATGAAGGAACCAATTTTATTATTCAATTTAGATTACTATTTTTATTTTTGTTTAATGTATGAAATATTTGTTTATAAACCATATTTTCTGTTTAATTTTCATGAAAACATGTAATTTTGAAAAGAAGTTCAAATACACATATCAAAAGTAGCAATCTATTACAATTTGAGTACCACTGTTGTATGAGCAAATCAAATACATATGAAGGTAGTATGGATACCTTAAAGATTCCACTACATGTTTTTTTATTTGTATACCAGATAACTCACGTAAAATGATCGGAAAGGCTTATTTAAACATAACGATACTATGTAATGTTTACCTTCTTGTTTTATTAGATGATAATTTGTTGTATATACAAATGTACAAAAAAGTATTGTGTAGTAAAATTGTATTTAAGAACTCTATTGAATTTTTCAATCAATTCCAAAAGCAGTGTCAAATTCTTCTTGAGAAATCTAAAACAATTACCGTAATTATTAAGAATAAATATAAATATTTATTGTACGTAAATTTTTATTTAAAAAATTATTTTAGCAAAAATACCTTTTTCTTTTTTAATTTCTTAATTAATGCTATGTCTTTTGCCAATTCCTCGATATCTTGTTCATTTATCTTCCTTTTTTGTTTTTTTGTAGAGTTTACGGAAACTTGTTTCAGCTTTTTCTCTTTTCGTTTTTTGCGATTTTCTTGTTTTTCCAGCTTTCTCTTTTTAGTTTCAGACCATGGTTCAGTTTGTTTACGTTTACGTTTGTGCGCCTTAGGCCATACTCCGCTATCTTCAAAAATTTTCAATTTTTCTAAACGATTTTTTTCTTTTTGTTTATTTGAATAAGTAATTGAATTAATATCAATATTTTCTTGTTCAAAGGATGACACATCTTTTCCTTTAAGCTCGGGCATACGAGGCATTCGCAGTAAACCAAAACTCATTGCAAGCTTTCCTAGATCAATATCTTTCAATCTTAATATTAAATTACATTCATGTTTATTGTACGCTTGGATATATGATACAAATGCTCTGTTGGCTTTATCAAAGAGAAGTCGATCGTGCTTTTGTAAATCTTTCATGCATTTCAAACACTTCTCATACGATATCATACATGGTTCCAAAATTATTTTTTCTAGGTCTACTTTTTGATTTCTTTTGATAAAATCTACATAAGCATCTTCTGTTTCTAAGAGAAATAATAATGCATTCCCTTCATTGCCAATTCTAGCAGTTCTACCACATCTGAAGAAAATAAATAATAAATTATAACAAAGTTTTAAGTAATAATTATTGTGAAAGATAACCAAGTAGTATATGTAGGAACATATTTAAAATTACTCTCACCTATGAACAAAACTACTAGCTGAACAGGGAGGATCATATTGTAATACCCAATCTACTTCTGAAATATCAATGCCACGAGCCATTACATCCGTGCAAATTAAAATGCCACTTTTTACGCGACGAAATTCATTAAATACTTTATACCGCTTGTTTTTCATTTTACCATGAATTGCAAATACTTGCACTGATGGCAACATTAACTTACGCTTGTATAACATGACTAAAATAATCAACACATGCACAGGTAGATAAAAAAATCATATATTTTTTATTAGTTCCTTCACGTTGAATAAAATCTATCATTATAGATAATTTGTACTCAGTGTTGACAATGACATAATTATTTTTTAAATTTGATGGTGTAGAAATATTTGCTTTCTCTTTAACAGTTATTAAAGCAGGATTTCTAAGTCCTGCTCTTATTAACTGCTGCAATTCCTTTGTTTGAGTAGCAGAAAATAAACCTGTTCTTCTAAGACGTGGTAAATAACTTAATATTGTATCCAATGTTGCAGAAAACCCTAGATCCAGTAATCTATCTGCTTCATCTAGGATCAGTATTTCCTATAACATATCTAAGATTTAATTAAAGAAATTTATTATTATGAAGTAGTTTTATATTTAATATTTCAAAACTATTACCAAAGATTTGACACGCATTGCCATATTTATACTTTTACAATTAGAAAATATATCTTCCAATCTACCAGGTGTTGCTACAATTATATTTGCAGCTGCTTTAAGTTTCTCTGCATCTTCTGTAATGGTTGCACCACCAACAAGTAACACTTGTTTCAAATCTGGAATATTATTGAGAAATTTTTGCAAAACTTCATTTATTTGTACAGCTAGTTCTCTTGTAGGACTAATTATTATTGCTCCAACTTCTGTAGGTTTCCATTTTTCTTTTCGTTTCTAGTTTGAATACGAAAAATTGTATGATATTTATTTTATTTACATTGAAGAAATATTAATTAAGGAAAATTAGATTTTATATAGCACCTGCAGTATTTCTAACAGTGGAACTAAAAAGGCAATCGTTTTTCCACTGCCTGTTACTGCTTCTGCAGCAACATCTTTTCCTTTTAATAATAATGGTATTGAAGCTGCCTGCATAAAATTATAAAGAGCTGTATATTTTTTAAGTGTTAATTATTTTAAATTGTAAACAAGATATCATTTTGATGTTGAGAATGACACTAATATTAATTAATAAACAAATAACATGAAAATTATAAATGAGTTTTTTATAAATTTTTGTAATATATTACCTGAACGGGTGTCATATGAGAAAATTTTAATTCCTCAATAGTTTTCAATATAGAGTTGCTTAAAGACACCTCTAGCTCTGTCCAATTTTGTGTTTTCATTATAAACTTAAAACGTTTAGTTTTAAAATTTAATATTACTTATTCTTTAAGTCAAGGAATTAAAAAGTACAGAAGTTCTAAATATTACGTCTTTTTATACCACTTTGATTTTTTCAGGTTATGTTCAACACTCTACTATTGGTACAGATTACAATACTAGTTAGATAATTCTTAATACGATTATCTTGATGAATTTTATTAAGATTATCTTAATATTATGCATATCGCGAATGTTGTTTTTTAAATGTTTTTAATATTTCTGAAAAATGTATTAAATTTATTTGAAATATGTAAAATGGAATTTAAGGTACAACTGCAAAAAGAAATCGTATATAATTATGAATACCTTTTCTTTACTGTATAATAAAAAGTATATGAGAAATTTTTGTGGTTGAAACTTAAAGATTAACAACCCCGGAGGAAGTTGGAAAAATTAAATTACCATGTGCACATTGGCTTTTAACGCATTGACTTTATTTTGATGTTTTTTTAAATCTCTTCGATATAAAATTTGTGTCTAACGATGCCACACACTCAACTATCTCTCAAATAAGGATCATCCTTGCCTTCATTTCTCTTATATACACGACTAGGTCTAAGGCCGTAATTCAACTTGTCTTTTTCAATGCCATAGCATCTGACAGTATTTGTTTATACATAAGAGGTACGCGATTTGATTAAAATGTTTCAACAATTTTAAACATTTGACATAATAGATTCTTCACAGTCTAGTGGACAATAAAATATTGTTGTTACTTTTGTTGTAGAATTTTCTCGATATTTGTTTTCTCATTTGTAATATGTATTATTCATAAAAAAAAGTTGTAATTCATATATAAGAAGATTACATAGATTACACAGTATTTATATAAATTACGTATAACTTTAAAGTAGTCCAATATTATAGTGAAAATTTGATTTTAAAATTAAATAAACTTAATATAATCTTCTCTACTGTTGTATTATTTTTGAATCAGTATCTTTGCTTGTACCAATTTGAATAAAAATATAAAATCTGTAAACATTATTGCAAATATATTATCAAATAACATTGAAATTTTATATTTTAAATCACTAAACAAGAACTAATACATTTGTACCTCTTTATATACACAGATGCTTCTCTGTCACGACAATTATCGGGTCGTTTTAAACGACGTTATTTGTCGGACCCTTTTGTCTCTTATACATTTTTCCTAATTTGACTTACTCTTTGCTTCGAGGATCTTATGTATCAGCATCTCATAACAAAATCCATCATCAACAAACTGCAAAATTTGGAACTTCGTCTCAATTATTTTGCTATCCTGTTATTCAACTTTGCATAACCGAACGCAATTTAATCAAATTTAGAGGAGTTACATCGATCTGTTTCTGTGCTTCTTGTTCACTGCAGTGAAATATCAAATATGAAAGCGCGAGCAGAAAAATATGTCATACCTTCTATTTCGTACATCGTTCCAATAATTACTTTGTGTAAAAAAAAATTTTTTACTCGCGTGTTGTTCATAATTACTCCGTTTTTAGGTTCTCGGATCTTTGAAGATACGTACACCATCAGACTATCGGATAACACTCTGTATCAACCTTGCAGGTTGAATTTTGGCTTAATAAATGTTTACAAAGTAGTGCGAACTACAATAATCAAAAGTGAAATTTCTTTAATTTTAATATTTCTTGCAGCATTTTATAGTCACAGTCCCTCGTTTCTTTTCTAATATATTGTATAGGCACCACCTATCAATATACAATTTGTTTGTTTGCCAATTTTCTTTTTACATTTCGTATATTTCTATAAATCAATTTTAAAAATCATATTCATTTTTTTGTTGTAACATTTAAATTAATAACATAGCAGTACACGGTGGTAAATTGCATACCGAAATCTGTCTCATGTAATTAAGATTTAAATATAACTTGAGGGACTAAATATCAACGTGGGTTTTCTATAATTCACTAACCCACTTAAAAGTCACTTTCAAGATGATCAGCACTTCACACTTTACATTATTACAATTTTATCTTTTTTATGTTGTAAAAATTATGAGTATTATTTGAATTAAATTAGAAAAAAAAAAAATTGTTTTGTCTGGAATGATATTGATATTATCAAGAAAAAAAAAAGTAATATCTAAATATTAAAGCAAAAAGGGATGGAATTTGTAAGATTCTTTATAGATACGTCAATGAATGGTTACAAGCGATAAATGAAAGTCTTTTCAAGTGCCTAATGCCATCATGAAAGTAACTTGAATTTGTAAACTTTATTCTACCTCTGCAGAATACTAGTAGTTTTCTCTTTCTTCATCCATTTCAGATTGCAGCTACTGATTGTGCGGTAAAATCACTGGTATAGTTTGCTGCGCTCCTGGAGGTGGTTGCGGCGGTAGGTATTGCATGTGCTGCGGTGGTATCGGTATATGAGGAGGAATTATAGGACACATTATTGGATAACTTGGAGCATGGCCTTGAGGAGGTGGTGGAGGATATGTGGGTTGTGGAGTACCAGGAGGATTGTAAGTGCCTGGTGTGTGTGGTGGATTAGGATTAGCTGGAGAAGGGGTTTGACTTGGTGGTTGTTGAGCAACGTGAGGGTGTGGATGTGTATGTGGACCCATGTACTGAATACCAGGAGCCTGCGGTCCTGGTGAGTCATGATGATGATAAGGTGTAGCCATATGTGGCGGTGGTGGTGGTGCCTGAACCATGCGTACCATCTGTTGATATGCCGGTTGGCCAGGGTAAGGCACCTGGAATGGTGGGTGTAGAGGGGCCGGTGCCATTAAAGGCTGTCCAGTTGCCGCTACCACTTGCATTTGAGAAGCTATATCTTGCGCACGATGTTGCGCGTGCATCACTGGTACTGAAATAACCAGAATAGAATGTAACTTATGTTCCTATTTTACACAAAAATTCTTTGTGTTTCTTGAAGTGATACTAGATAATAATTGTTAATAAGTAGAAAATTGAAAATAAGATGCGGATACCTAGATACTGACCCTTCCGGAACCTTGTCACAGGTTGAGTCGGTGGTTGAGTGAACGCAGTTGGTGGTTGGCTAGTCATTACGTATGCTGGCATAACTACTGTTGTAGGCATTGTTGCCCCAGTATATTGTGGTGTTTGTGGAGTGTGTGGTCTACTCGGTGTTGGTGTACTTGGAGATCGCTAAAATAACATATTTATATTATAATTTATCATTTAATTATTGTTAAATTTTGTATTAAATAATTACCAGCTTACCGGTGTGAAAGGTTTAGTGTTTGGATTAAATTCTTTAGCATTTGGATTTAACGTTGATTTTTTGAAAGCCGTCGTAATTTTGTCAACAGTTGGTTCTTGTGGAGCTTGGGATGCAGTGGGTGTATTTGTAGGAGTTTGTTGTTGTTGTTGCGGTTGTTGTTGCTGCTGTTGCTGTTGTGGTTGAGGAGGACTTGTAGGTCGCACGGGTAATGGACCTGGTGGTGGTTTACTAGTGACCACAGTTTCTTCTTGAACAGGTTGATTTTGATGCTGCTGCTGCTGTTGTGGTTGTTGTTGCTGCTGCTGCTGCTGCTGCTGTTGTTGTTGTTGTGGGGGACTTGGATGTTGCTGCTGAGGTTGTTGCTGCGATTGCTGTGGTGTTGTGTGCTGATGAGGCGACTGATGATGTGTCTGAGTAATTTGAGGTGATGAATGAGAATCCTGTTGGTGTTGATGCTGTTGCTTTCTGGTAACTGGCGGTGTATCTTGTGATGGTGTTTCTGCTAACTTGAAATCTGAACCAAATTGCCTCAGCTCTGAATGTTGTTCTTCTCTACTACGTGGCGTTGGAACCTTTAACAATGTTTACATTTTGTAACTTTGTATAAATCAAACACCTTAAATTCGAGAGTACTCTAATTCTGCAATTAAAATATTACCTTTCTGTGATCTGATTTATGAGAAACTATCTCACATCGTTGCCCCTCCACTGAATTTTGCTGCTGTAACTGACCATGCTGTTGATGGGATGATTGTTGTTGTTGTTGTTGTTGTTGTTGTTGTTGATGAGAAGCAGCAACATTCGTTTGTGGAAATGGTGCTGGTGGTGCTTTATCGGCTTGATATACTTGTTGCCTGCCAGGGCGTTCGCGTTTTTCTGTGTTTATTTTAGATGATTGCGCTTGTTGCTGTTGTTGCGGGAATCCGACTTGCGGTACAGAAGGAGCAGCTTGAGATTGTGATTGTGTTTGCTGCATCACAGGTACTACAAATACGAATATACAATTATTAATATACAATTATTCATTTCATTAATTAATGTTTTTCGTAAACATTATTTTTTAATACCTGGTGGTGGTGGTTGTGTTGCTGGTGGAGGCGCAAATGGTGGTGGAGGATTGTTGTATGTAACGACCACTCCACTGGGTGGCATTCCCATATTTAAAGATACCGAATGTTGCACCGAGGGGTGAGCGCTTTGCATTCCAATAGGAATATTTGAAGATGGAGGAATGTTTACATTTACACTGGATGGAGGCTGCTGATTGAAAACATTTTTATTCGTGGCTGCGGGTCCTGGTGAAGGTGGAGGTTCACTAGATCTCATCAGTTTTCCAGTACTTCCATTTTTCTTCTTCAGTGGAGGTGGAATATATTTACCTTCATTGGGTCTTACCTAAAATCATGTGTGATTAATACAAGATAGCTAAATTTACACCTCTTTTTTTATATAATTATGACAATAGCATTAAACTGCACCACAGCTGCAAATCTTTCCTCTTCATCACCATTTTCGAGTTCTAATCTCGCCTTATGATTTGGTTGTGACTCTATTTCATTTGCTATTTCCGCAGCTTTTTGTTCTTGCTCTTTGTAATCTTTTGTATCTTTCCTTTGTAGCGGTAATGTGTAAGCAGCCAAAGTTGGCTCATATGTTGTTTGAACTCCATATTTTTGTTCATTTTTACGAAACATGTCATTAGCATCCCACCCATTCTAAAATTAATTGCATATAAATATTGAAATGTATTATTTATGTATTCAATTTTATTTCTTTGTTACTACAAAAAGTTACTTACAGTGGTTCCATCTAATTCTAAGTCATCTCCATTCATAGTGGCAGGAGGAGCATCCCAAGGTTCCAATTCTTTTTCACCAATTAGACCATTATATTTACTAATAACAGTGTCTGTTCTGAACGTATCACGTATAGCATAATCTAAATCAACATCCTTGGCAGACATAGTAATAATATCTTGTGGTTTAAAAATTAATTTCTCTACTACATTTTCCACACTTATTTTCCCTGAACCTTCTACACGATGTGCCATTTCTAAGACAACATCAAATTGACTCGAGAAGGTGCGAAAAATACCTTCATATATTGAACCATTCAATGTCTGAATCTACAATAATATAACAGCACTATAATATTCATTAAAAAGCTTAAAAAAAGAATACAAACAACAAATTGTATATCATATGTATTCACTAATAAATAAATTTATGATAAAAATGTACAAAGCTTTCTTGTCTATCAAATAATTCTAGTACCTGTACAATGTTGCCAACATGACTGGTTATTGCATGCATGAAATGAGCATTATTATATACACCTTCAGCAGCAACACATCTTTCCTGTGGACCACGAGCACGAGGTGATCTAAAAATAAAATCATATTTGTAAACAGATTTAGAATTATAATTTCTAAACATTAACAGTGAAAAAAATTAAAGAGAAATATTCGAAATCTATTTACTGTAAAAGCAAGTAAAAAAAAAAGTGGAATAAAAGAAGATAGGTAATGAAATAGTAAGGAAACAGAAGAGGACAATACCTATTGGTATTTGAACGATTCTTTCTTTTGCTATTCATTTTGCCACTCGACGAGGATTCTTCGCCAGTGGTTGATGGATCTCTGCCGCCGGTTTGTTGCGGACCTTCTCGTTTCCTAGTGGGGACCGGAATTTTGACTAATTTCCCGGTGACTACTCAACGTTAAAAAATATTTTCGATCGAATATCCCTGCGTAGGGGAATACTGAGAATACTGTCCAGCCACGAGCTCCTCGTTAGATATTTAAGACTTTAATTTCAAACCTTTTTCGACCCCAAAATGAATGACAGGAGGCCGTATTGGCTGTAACAACTATCAACATTCACAATCGCTTTCCGAGTCACGATCGTTTATAGGTTATGCGCCAATTCTACAGTTATCTAAACACTCGTTTGCAAAAGTCTAGCGCGTGCGTGACTTTCGAGTTTTGACAGACACAAAAGTGTAAGCAAAGAAAGCAGGAACACTGTATTCTCGAGGAGACGTACAGGGGAACACGGTCTGCTCGACACACGATATCTTGCTGGTGCGTGACGTAACTCCGTTCTCTTTACGCAGGAAATCACATTAATGGAATTTCGCGTTGACGGAGCTAGGAAACGAACGACGGTAGCTCCAAATAATGATTTTGGCCACGATATTATATTTCTATTTAATTAATCAACATGTGGTAAACGATAAAACTTAGCACAAGTCGCCTGATCAGCTTGATCCCGGTGACTGTCGGATACAGTCGCCACCTAGTGAGAAATTAATCGAGATTTTGATAAAGATCATCCGCAATTCTCTCTTGAAGAACCTATTTTCATCGATGCTTACACTTTCTTTTCTAATGGAAATGTATCTTTAATTATTCTCTATATTATAAACCTTGCTTATACTCAAGTGTGTTTTTTATTTAAGAATAAATCGGACGCTTGTATTTTGTAAAGTAAGTTATATTTTCCAAAATACTGCATAACATATATATTTAGATATCGATAAATTTAATAAGTAATAAAACAATAAGAAACATTTTAATAATGGGTAAAATAGATTCACATTTATTTAAGTTAAAAGTTGAAGGCGAAATGTATTTTAATCTTCAAAACAACATGTTTCATTGTCAATTAAATTTTTGCCAAAGAACGTTCCATTTATGTTTTTAATAACGCCTTTTCAAACTTTTGTCTATATTTCCATATGTATCTCTATCGTCGTCGTTATATACTGTGTGCAATTTTCTAATAATGTTCTTCGTTCTATCGGAAATGAAATTGTCCACTTGACCCAAGATGTTCACGCCTTGAATTATCCATTCAAAACCCTTATTAATTTTTGCCTCTCTGGCAGTATGACTAGTTGAACGGCTCGATAAACTATTTGGAAGTTCTTTTAACACACTTTTTCGTTCTTTTGCAAATATTTTGTCTGCTTCCATCATCATCTGGTAAATAATTTAACAACGATATAAGGTTTATAGATCGTCAAAATATAATTTTACTTACCATAGGTATCGCGAAAAGCAGCAGCCATTGTATTTTCATTTTTTTTTCTCTTTTTTGTTTGAAAGTGAAAATATTCTTGTTCAGAATGCATAAAAGAAAGTTGAAAATTTTAATTATTATCACTTATCAAGTTACTGCATAGTACGTAAAAAAAAAACAAAAAAAAAAGAATCTATCAAAAATCAGTATTCTCTGATCAACGTTCTTGTAATCATTTAATGTATCGCAAGTCTGGGGAACGAATTTATTTCTCTTATTCGAATATGTTCCATTGCACGGTATGCGCTGACGTGGACTAAACAATTGTACGCGTAATAATAAAAAAAAACAAAGTATTCCCGGCGATTAAGCAATTTATTTCGCAATTTTAAATATTATTTCGCATACGATCGATCATAATATTCTTTTAAACGTTGTTTAAATAATATTTGTATTATTCGGTCGTGTTACATTTCCATGTTAAACAGTAGAACTGGAAGACTGATGAAAAACTTCGCATTAATTGTTCGTTGAATGTATTTAACTTATGTATAACTATAATACAAAAATATATTATAATGTATTCGCAGCGAAATTGAAAGGAAATACTTTTTCTAAAATCAACGAACGTAAAAATTTTTTTAAGGCTCTTCTATTCTCTTTTTTAACGGTAAGTTAGTACATTCTCGAATGTTAGCATCGGACGGTGTCGGCTGTTTAGCTTTTCTGAGCTGCGGCCGCCTGTTGAAGGTGAGCGTTCAAATTCTGCGTTGCCTGTACAGCAATATCAACTGCTTGTTTCGTGAACTTTGCAAGATCCTCTTGGACTTTTCCAGAGTGTTGGCTCAGAGATTTCGCGGCAGTGTCAGATTCTTTAAGGACGGTCTGAATTCCCTGCTGAAACTTGGCTTGCAGATCAGCAACCTGTTGCTGAGCATTCGGGATTCCGCTGTTAATATCATCGACGACCTTTGTTAGTTTGGTTTTAACGTCCACCCACATACGTTCCAATTCAGGACTCTTATTTTTTACCTAAAAAGCATAAAAAACAAAGACGCTCGTTAATTTTTTTCTTCTTTATATTTCATTAATTTTGTTAATTCTCTATCGCTACGTTCGTATAATTTTCCAATCATTTTTTTATTAATAAAATAATTTTTGTATTTTCAGTTTACGTTGGCAATAGTGATCAGTTCGAAACGAGTAAATATTGGATTATTACCTCTTCAGTAATGTTCTTCATGTATTCTTGAATATTGGTAACGAAATTGGTGCTCTGTTCTTTTACAGTTTTAACGATGGTCTCCTGGTCAGGGATGTTCCATTGTTCCTGGATTTGTTTCGCCAAATTGTTGATGTTCGTTTGAGCCTGATTGATGAGCTCGGTCAATTGAACTTCAGGCGATGCTTGGGAATTTGTGGCACTAGACGGTGCAACTTTCGCCTCGGAGACCAGCGCGACGGCCAAGATGATAGCAACGATGCTCTTCATTTTTCTCGAATAATCCGTGGAACAACTAGAAAGTGACTGATGCGCCAGCTTTACCAGCTACTACTTTTATAGGCGATTCTTATCGAGGGTGCACGAGGGCACCACTACAGACTATCTCATTCCGACGATGATTATGAGTTGTAACTTTTGCATCCCTCTTCAGACGCTCTCTGAGCACGTTCTTTCTTAAAGAGAACACTGAGAATTTTCCGCGATAGCTGTTCATATCGTTCAATTCCTAGACAATTAATTTCAACGTTGATAACGAGAAAAATTCGTTCGAGATATCACGTTGAATTATTGCATTCTCTAACGATTGGTACACACATACGTAGCATATACTTGAGCGTACAAGTTTACGAACGTTTAATAACTGTCGTTTATTGACAATTATGACATACATCAATAAACACTAATGAACATGTATGCATTGAGTTAACTCTCTATTAGCAATTAAGAGTATCGTTAAACGAATTCCAACGACGTTGAGTTATAAATAATTACTACTAATACCGATACTCTCGATTTTAAATTGATACCGTAAGGTCAAGGCGTCACCGAAATTATCGCTAATTTCGGGTCACCGTCTACGAGATATTACCTACATCACGTCAATAGTGAAGCCTTGGGATACGCAAATATATATCGGCTCTACTAAATTGTTATTTTCACCGTTCTTATCAGGAATAAATTTTGCTTTTAGGATTCGACTTAATCTCGAGAAAACGGTGTCATCTCTGTATCTATAACGTTACTTAATCGTCTATTGATTTTTCAAATTTGTTAGTAAATGTAATGTGACATTCGTAGGAAGCCTACGTCAAGGGGACAAGGTTCTATGGAAAAATCTAGATTGAAGTGTATATTTGTTGATTCTACGGTTGCATGTGTACTATCGTTGCTACGAAATCATTTCTTCAAAGTCCATATGAAACATCTGGTTATCTGTACGTGTGCTGTCGGTCAATAGAAGCCTTGACCCGTGACCATTTTGATTCTACAACTTGTAATACATCAGCAAATAATATGCTTTCACTTGATTTTCACTTTTCATTTTGCTCGCTGTTTTAACTTTGCATTAGAGTGCAAAGCAAACTGCGCACTCTAATCGACAACGATTAAAAAGAAAAAAAAAAAATTCTATTTAGATTAGAAAAGTGCCGAGAAGAGGACAAGTTTATGTTTATTCAACGATATTCTTATTGCGCTGATGCAATTCTCATTAAACTTTCCCACCGAGAAACAAAACATGAAATAATAAACGTACAAACGTAATTGATTAGATATGTAAATCTGTACGTTTTATTTTCAACACGTAGATACACCTACATTATGTAACATAATTCTTTAAATCCTAAAAACTATGCGTTATTTATATCTCGACAAAGAAAAACATTCTTTTTTTATATTTTTTACATCGCGATACATGTACCAATGTTAACGTTGTTCTTTATAAGTAGATATTATGTTCTAAACGTATACTAAGGAATAACGCGAACGTTGTTCGAAAAGCAAAACAAGTAGTATCTGTAACATCTAAGAAAAAAGTTATTGTCGCATCTTTTTCTAATAAAAAAAAGCGTCGATACAATTTCTATTACGTTAACCGAATGATTAATCGCGAAGCTTATCTGCCAACTTCTCCATTTCCTTCCGAATATTATCGCCAGCTTGTCCGAAATAAGTTTTTGCTTTGTCGAGAAGCCCGTTTATGTCAGTATTCTCCAGCGCTCCTTTTGCATCGTCGAACATTTTCTTCGCTTTGTTTGTCAAATCGAAGTCATTTTCCGGAGCCTGTTGTGCGTCTTCTGGCAAAGGACTGGCCTGTACAACAATCGTGTGCGAATTATCGATAAACGTCGTTCGTTTCTTCAGTCATGAATTATTAGATAAATTCTATCAACTGCGTGTATCACTCAACGAAATTACATTCGTGCAAAAAATATTCATGCTCACCTGCGTTATGTACACCAGGCAGACGATAAGAACGGCGAATAATAGGAATCGACTCATATTTGTGATCGCGTTGATCCTCTCTGTTAGGTGTTGTAGTGAAAAGTAATGTGACAGTTTCTGTCAGAGAGATGATAGCAAACTGCTGGAGGAAGCCTCGTGCGAAGTTACTACCACGATAAAACGAATTAAGATCAAAGATCACACTAATAACCACTTAAGCCTCTATACTTCTAACTTATTCTCAATTTCGTTGTCGTCAGTTAAATGGCGTGTATGCTAGCTCGTCGTTCTATTCAAACCAAATGAACAGCTTCGCCTCGCCGAATATCTACCTTCAATGAAATCAATTATTCTCCGCTGCATCATGATATGCGATTTTTCCAGCAGTCTGTCTTTGTTTTCCGGAAATTATATAATCACCGTATTTCTATTTCCCAGACTTTAACAGAGGTGTATGAAATTTAGCCTTGGTTACTTCGTAAAGCTACTCTGTAATAATTCCTTTTTTTAGATACTCAAAGTCATGCTCGATTGAACAAAAAAATTACAGTGGTATTCGGTTTTCTGTTATCATCACACGATCCTTCGTTTTCTCGCGTTGAAATTTGCAGGATAGGGTGATAAAATTAGATTCGTACGAAGTTTCTTGAAATTTCTATCGATAGAAAGAAAATTCTAGAGAACAGGCAACGGTGATTGTAAAATAGGTAGAGCAATCGGTCTTGACTTATTCATAACGCAGGACAGAGTTACAATTACACTTTCATCGCAGGCGATGTTTGAGAATTTTAATTTGCATGGTCAGCGAATGTTTACGTTAATAGCTGACGTCAGAAGTATAACGAATCGATTGTAAAATGATATGCAACCGTGGCGATGAATAATTCGAGCGTCGTTTAAGAAATCTTACCTTTATTTCAACATACAAACGAATAACAATTTCAAATGCGTATATACAAACACGGTTACAGTAATGTGTAAAGAAATGTAAGGAGCAAAAATTCTGATTAATTCTGGAAGAGTAATTGGAATTTATGCTCGCAAGTCGGATTATGAAAATCACCCGAGCGAAGGTGCCAGATTTTAATGTTATTCTGAGCATTCGTGAAGAACGATTTCAGCTTGTACACCTTGAAATCAATCTGACTGAAAGAGTCGTTTACAAGTCCTATCAGTCCTCTGTCGTTACCGAGGAAAATGACGATGATATCGTCGGATGATAGGGGCGAATTTCCTAAAGCAGATGCTATCTCCTTTCTAGGAAGGGCAAAAGATGTCTGTTTGATCGAAGCATCTTTCAGTATGTTGTTAAGGCTCGAAAAAGATGGCAAATAAGTTGACGTACCGCAGCGATATGAATTGAGCGTGGAAGGTAGCATTTGAGAGGAGTGTTTAGCTAACACCGGCATTTTTTTCGCTGTAATCGACGGTGTTGTTGTCATGGAATCTTTAAACTGAGGAAAAGAACGAAGAAGTCTGTAGGAAGGTGTGACGCTTTCAGAATCTTCATTTTTCAACGAACTGTCTGTAGTAACTGGAGCTAGAGAAGAGGGAGTAGTAAATGAATTAGAAACTTCACCCTGGTCATCTGTCGAGTCTTCTTTGTCAGGCGACGATAGGGTTTTTTCTTCTGGAATTAACGGAGTTGACGATGAAGTCGGCTCGTTGCTAGCAAATTCTGTAAGTTTCGTTAAATCTGGAAGATTATTGCTGCGGTTGAGCTCAGACTCTGAATTTGGATTCGAGGTGCTGGATTCGACGGGATCTAGATCTGACGAGTCTTGTTTAAGTGCGTTTAAATTGTACATAGGAAACGGTAAGTGAGTATTAATGACTGGCTCGAAAAATGACGGAGTTGTGTTCTCGTTAACAGAAGTCGGCGAATTATCTTGCGAATGATCGAGATTTGATGTTGAACAAGAGCATTCCGTCGATGCAGGAGTAGTGGTAAACGACGAAGATGAATTATACGTTAGAGGTGGTTTGCACGAATCGCAGAACAGAAATATTACGTCGATAATAGCTTGAGAAACACCGGAAGCGTAATAGCCTTTGTAAAAATCAAGTAAAATATCGAGCAATTCCTCGAGTATCGTTAGAAATCGATGGAACTTCTCATGAACGTGAGATATCAAGTTTTTCAACACTAATTTCACCCAAGAAATTACCTTCAAAACTAAGCTCTCTACTTCCTTTATACCGGTCGATATGTATTCGTACAAAAATTTTGATATCTTTTCCAATACAACAGAGACATGATACTTTACGTCTTGCATGACTTCTTTTACAATGTTAAGATACTGCTCCAGATGTTTCAAAAGCTCTCCAATATGAACGAAGACCCTTCGAACGATAATTTTCAGTCTATTCAAAGTTTCTACGATATCGAAAATAGGGACACACTTTTTTATCGTATCAATGAAACGTTGCACGTTCGTAAAATCTTGTAAGAATGCCTCGAAACGTGCAGTGTAGCTTTCTATGAGATCAATTATAGCTCCGCTGATTACGTGTTTCTTTAACTGAATCACATAGTGCGGTATGTCGAATACGATCTGCAACAGATCGACGTGAAATTCGGACTTTAAGTTGTGAACAGCGACTAAGCCGTAATAGAGGAGATTCTTCAGTTCGCAGATGATCTCGCGGACCACAGTTCTGTGCAATCCGTGATGACCAGATTTTATAACGTCCGCGTTGCAGGAATAATTTCTGAACACTCGAAGAGAGAAGAACTCCAATCGCGTAGAAAGAGACGCATCTTCGGTAGGTTCAACGAACAACGAATCTATCCATTCTGCTGCATCGCCCTAAGGATATTTAACTGTTATTAATAAGCGGTTTCTTTCACACGGAAGGAATAGTAGATGGATGAAAAATCACAGGCACCTTTTTCGTCTCTTCATCTTCGGTGTTTAGAGAATCTTCTTCGTGTAACGTTCGATCTTGTTCTTCAACGAAAATATCCTTTCTCCTTCGTATCGATTGAACACTTTCATTTTCGGTAGCAGCGATAATAGCAACTACACTTAGTACTACGAAATAAAAAAAGATCGCCGAACATCGGTCCTTCATTATTCCAATTAAAATGCACTCATCGGGTTTCGGTCGATGAAGACAGCTCATATATCCGCAAGATTGATACCTCGTTCCAGAAAAAGGCACGCACATCACGCGAAATTCCATCAACAGTCCAGATTACGAATAGCGATAGCTCCAGTTCGATTATCGTATTATTTGCAAATATTCTACTTATGAAACGGTAAAAAAGCACGTATTTAATCATTCGGCGATAAGATCTGTGCACGTTAAGCACAACGCAATTAATTAAAAAATGAAAAAACAGAGGAAATTTGCATGCGTTATGCACCTGCTTCATCAATTTTATTATATTCTAATACATCATATACTTTTGTATCCTCTATTTACTTATATTGACATTGGCATGGTGAGGATGCTGACGAAGAAACTTCGCAAGCAGGAACCAGTACTCTATCGATCTTAGATCTAAGTCCTTCCAGTCGTTGAATTTGATGCATTTTACACCCGTGAGTAATGCTAAAAAGAATATTAAAAGTTACATTTATAAAAATTAAAAATTTTCGCAATTAGTTAATTGTAATATTTACTGTTGCATTTTCATGGGAACTTCGACGTCGTAGTTGTAACTTTTTAGAGGAGACGGTAGATTAGCAGGAGGAGGAATATAAGTGTTGTACGCATAAGCTCTCCCTCGTAAGGTGTCTTCCATGACGATTTTTTCCGATTGTAACGAAGTAGGACACGGCATTTCTATGGCAATTGGATATTCAACGCGACGAGGCTGAACATACATATCCGAGACAATTTTAAAGTTCATCGACACGGGTATCTTTTCTTCTTTTGGAGGTGGTTTAGGTCCCTGAAAGTATTTTACGATACGTTTACATGAAAGGAAATATGTTTTGTTCAATCGAAATTGTAAAATTAATAGATTTGTACTTCGATGTCAAATGGCAGTCGACGAGTCGTAGCGCAAGGTTCACCATACGTCACTATTCTAGCACCCTTGTAATCGAAGCTTAACGAATAACAACTTTTTAAAATACAGATCGAGCAAACTGCGATAAGAATCCAAACTGTCGTCCCCGAATTCATGTCTGTATCTTGAAATTCAGGCTTCTAAATACAATTAAACTGCAGACAACGATTTTACGTGCTTAATATATAAGTATGTACATATATATCCATTAAAAACAATTCCTCTTCCTGTTTGTCGTCAGACTCAAATGGCTCATGTTGGTCAATCTTTAAGCATCCGTAAATAAGAAGAAAGGAAACGCATCATTTTGTCAAGTAAAAATTTCGTAACTCTTGAACGTGCTTAAGTAAAAGGAAGTGCAAAATTTTTCTTCACGGAAGTTATAAGCTGCGAATGTGTTTATGAAAGGAAGAATGAAATCCACGTATTGCTCGTTAAAGAATTTTAAATATTCCCGGTTTATATCAATCAATACATAAAAGTGTAACGCGCTATAAGTGAGGTATATTATTCATAAATTAAAACGGTTATAAATTATAATCTTCTACAATATCTTTTTTGTTTCCTAAACATCTGTGTAACTGTGATAAGGATATAGAACATGTTCGGTTTTGAACACGAATTATATAATTTAGAAGATGCATGAGCAGAAGAAAAGAATAACAATTGTAAAATATAACGTGCATAATTAGAAAAAAAAAATAGAAAAAAAAGAAGAACGTCAGTAAAGGAAAGTGTAACAGTTCTTTAAATAGCAATGCGTTTTACACACAGATTCATATATTATACTTCCTTCAAGATAATCATCATGTTGTACCATGTGGTGCTCGTAGCAAAAGTTTCCCTTACCCCTCTTGAAAGAGTGCTTCACGAAGTGTTGACAGGTTCGCTTAAACCACGGAAGTCGAAGAAGCATCGTAAATTTCGGTATACAGCAAAAGAACAACAGGCATTAACTCTTGTCCTATCTTTATCTAAACTATTTGTTGAAAACAACATGTAATTTTACAAATTGTTCTGATTTATTGAAAACCTGATTACCTCGGTAATCTGTGATACAATAATGCATTAAAATAATTTCTTTTTTCTATCAACTATTTTCTGTTATTAATGTAGCGATTGTTTAATAATTCTTATAATGTGATTGAATCGAAAAGTTAAGCTATTAATATTTTTAATGAAGTTTTTGAAATGGTGCAGTTTTTAAGAAAATTAGAAAAGGAAGTATAAAACATTTGGACTGGCAAATTAATTACCATACCATTTTCTTCTCATATAAATTTAATTGTACTTTGTATTCACATAAATTTATTGTAGAAATTGTATAGGAAAAAAATGTAAAATTCATTTTAGATCGACATTTGTATCATTTTTTATGATTAAATAAAATATATAAGTGGAAAGACATAGAAAATCTTTTCAACAAACTATATTTACTTCATTAATTAAATATTATGCAATAAGTAAGTAAGGAGAGGAAAGTCACAAAATTAATATAATTTTTTTTTATTGTTACTAGACATATTAAGTTACAGTACATGTTTATATTGTTTAAATATTCAGTCCTTTGTAGTGGTGTGCATTATGAATGTATCTCTCTCTTTTGTACAAATTCAAAACATATACAAACATATACATTTCTAATATAACTTAATACTAGAAAGATTTAACAATTTAGTTTGGACATGAGGCAGATCCTATAATTTCCATACTGTCACTGATTGGTTCTATACCAGCATTATGTAAATTATCCTTATTAAATGCCTTTTGAACTACTACTGTGCCTGGAATGTAATCTGGTAATGGTGGTCCTAAAGGTCCACATGGTTCTTCTGCACTATCATTTATTTCTCCATTCATTATTTTACCATTGTAGTTCCTAGATCTTGCATAAGTTGCTCCTACTGGTGCATAACCAAGATCTCTGTAAATAATTAGGACATTAATTAGGACACACTGTGTTTAATGTGTAACATGCTTTTTCTCATAACTGTTAATCATTTTTGGGACTAGTAAACTTACTTGTAGGTAAGAAGACTTTCTGCCATTTGATCAGCACCTTCTTCTTGTGTTATACTTTCACGTTCCATTGCTTCAAGTTCTGCAAGTTTAGCTTCTTCTTGCTCATCATAAGAACCAATAACAACAGTTCTTGGAGGTGCTAATTTTAATTCTACAACAGGTTTATTAACTGTTACAAGTTTCTCTTCTGCAATGTCAGCTAATTTATTTTCACTTTTCACATCAACTGGTACTGTTCTATGACCAAAGGATAATTTATCTTCTGGAACAAATTGTTTTCCTTGTCTATAAATTACATTAGGAGCACGAAGATTTTTGTATGCAAGAGTAAGAGAAACTGCATCTGCTGGCACTGTTGGATATGAATCTACTGCAGTTTCACCTGAAAATATATAATGGTTTTTTATAATTTCTATATTTAATTAATCAATTACAACAGTATGTTTAATGCTATCAAACCTGCAACATCATCAAAACAATCTGAAGAACTGCTACTCATAACCATTTTTGAATATTGTTTCTGCCCATTTCCATTATTTAAATTAGCATATATCAATGAAGGTAAATTATATATTTTAGAATTTGATCCAGTAAAGCTTCCATATGAACCAGTTTTGGATCCACTAAATATTCCAAAATTTATATTTCCATGTGGATTAATTTGAGATCCACTGTATAATCCAGGTACTGATTCAGTAAAAATACCATTATTCTTCATTGCAGTTGCAGTAAACATTTCATGTGTTGGTTTAGTAGGTATACCAGAATTTGGACTGGCATATATCATGGCATTGGGTGCACTTGAACTTCCATCAGAAGAGCTTGATATAATTGCTTTACTTCTAGTTTCTCCTGTGTGTGTATTTATACAAATTTCATAAGGAACTGATGCAGGACAGCATACAAGTTTGCCAGGGTAGGCTGGTGTAACTTTTGTTGCTTTTTCTATTAGCTTTCCACTGCTCTGTTCCACTGGAAGAGGGTAGCATAAATCGCCAATTGGTGAAAACCTGCACAGAAAAATTTGACTTGAAATTTCAGTCATGCTTTCTAATTTTAATTATTTATTAATGAAGAAAACCTTCAAATACCTGGGTACAATATTAACATTGGAATTTGGCATGTTATCAACTTCCAAAGTTTCTATATTTTGCTTGTTATAACCATAATCAGATTTAGGTTCATTAGAATTGTCAGGAAAAGATACATCAGCAGTATAAATAACAGCTGATGCAGGAGAACCTGAGGAGCTGCTGTCGCTATATGTAATTGCACTGCTCTCACTCTGCATATTTGAGTCACTGTTACTTCTACTGCATCCACAGCTATTACTCTTACTTTGTGTATTTGTGTTACTATTAATTACAATAGTATCAGATTTAACATGTGCATTTGAGCCAGTGTTGCTGCAAGGACTAGGGTTGCTATTGCTGTTGCTATGCACAATAGCACTACTAGCACTTTGTGCATTTGAGCAATCACTTTGAGATGTACCACCTGATATAACTATACTACTTTGTGCAGTTGCAGCATCCTTGATATCTTGTGGTGACACATAATATGTTGGTTTTGGTAAATTGGTTGCTTTCACGACCACTTCGCTACAAGTGCAAGGATTTACACCTGAAAATATTAGAGTTTAATAGATAAACTGAAAGAATAAAACTATGTTATTTTATTAAAATTAAATTTTGTAATCGTATACCTTTTCCTAAACCTCCACATTTACATTCTTGACTTTGTATCTGGACGATCAACGAATACGTTATCGTCACAACGAGAAGAATTTTCAAGATTGGATACCTCATATTGACGAGTATATTCCTTTTTGTCTCATTTCTCATTTCAGCACCCTTATATACATGAAAAAATTCTGAATTCGAAACTAGATTACATAATTTAATGGCATATTGTATTTCCTGTTGTTTTTAAAGATATTTTAAAAACTTCCTGTATTTATGGGAAGTTGAGAAGTTGAATTCCTTCTACATAGTAAACATGTTTGTTTAAATTTTGACGCAAATGTAAATGAACACACGATTTTATTAAACACAATTTATATCACAATATAATGTTGTTAATGAATCAAACTGTACGTGACAATCTGATAATTCGATATTTCCGCATTGCACCTATGTTATTACTTGACATGCAGCGAGACAAAACGAAAGAATTACTTTAGCCGTTTCCGTTCCATTTGGTATCACAAAAGACAGGTGAATATTTTTAATGATCATTTATTATAAAATATTAATTTTATGGTATAAACAATGAATACTTATAAATTTAATATTTTTCATCCAACGTTACAATAATATATTTACAGTTATGTACACGACAGTGTTGAAACGATAGCACATACATCTTCATACATTTTACTTGTTAAAAAAGTCAGCTGCTCTTTGCCTCTGAAGAGGCAAATTAAGTAAATTATCCGTAAGAACAGGACCTTGACATCGCGTGCTGCCATGTTCCGATTCTAAATGATTTTCAGATTTTGAAGGTGTGTTTATTCGCGGAGTACTTGGCGTTCTAATACCTATTGATGGTGTTCTCGATGATGAAGTTCTTCGTGGAGTCGGTGTACTTGCGATTCGAAGTTTTTGAGTAGCTAATCTTCTGGCCGCTGGAGACATAGTACTCAGACGATCTATGGTTGATCTCGGTGATGGACTGTAATAGAATAATTCATAAAATTATGTACAGATCTTTTGAATAATTATAAAAAAAACGGGACAAGGATACTTACGTTGCTAATGATTTTCTTGCTGCTTCTAAAGCTTTACTTTTTCTATCTCTGTGTCTTTCCCCAGCTTTTTCTGCAAGCTGTAGTGCAAGTTGTTCTCTTTTTGGTGGTTCTGCCATTCTAAATGATGGCCCTTGGCTTGTCCTCAATAAAGGTGTATCTCCACCGTCTAATCTAAATGGTGTACCTTCTATCTGACCCCATGTCATTAAAGGGCTTTCACATTCTCCAGGTCTTGGACTTGGGGTTGCCACAAAACTAAATCCATTAACCCTAGGTGTTGGATTTCTAACAATCTCTTTGCCATCAACTCCAATTTTTCCATCATTAGCCTTTGATTGATTCTTTGCCAATTCATTAATAGTTTCTTTATTTTGTTGTTCATTGAAGGGATTTATTCTAAGCCTTGTATTTTCATGCATTACCATTTGTCTCTTTTTAGCCAAATCTATCCTTTCATCGGGAGTTAATTCAACTCCATCAGGAACATACATGATATAATTTTTGTTTTTGTAAGTCCAACTGTCTAATTGGTTAGGCTTCTCATTACCATTTTCAATAGCTAAGGTATCTGAACTGTTATTAGTCAATGCCTTTGAATTTTCTTCAGCTTCATAAAGCCAAGCAAACTTCAGTTTAAGTCTTTTCTCTGCTTCAATCATCATTTCTTCAAAACTTGCATTGTCTTCACTGGTGTGTGTACTCAAATATGCATCCAATCCAGTTTTAATTTCTGTTTTATCTTTGTCTTTTGTGACTGTATTAACAGGTGTTTCTTTTGGTATTTTGGATGACTTAAATTGTTCATCTTCCGATTCAGTTTTGTTCATAGGTGTTTCAAATGTTGCTGGACTAGCAGGTCTTTCAGTCGTTGGTCGTCCTGAACTATATTTTTCATAAAGTTCTCTCATTCTCTTTACATCATTTTGCTCTAATGCATCTAAATATTGATTTTGTGCTTGAAGTTTATCTAAATGTGGAAAGAAATCTCTTTGAATAATTTCTCCCATTCTTTTTATATATGTATCTTCATCTAGAATTTTTGGTTGCACTTTTTTGTATTTTTTAGCTACACCTATTGGTTTCTTAAATACTGCTAGATCTTTCATGTTTTTGGCTACTTCTAGAGCTTGGGAACCTGGAGAATTCATTGTTGAACCTATAAAAAAAGATAATGCGTTACGCAAAAAATAATAATAAAAGTTGTACCAATTAATACTTTTAAGTACTTAAAAAATATATATACATGTATACAAAAATAATATTCTATAGAAATTAAAACAATTGACATTTACGTTTTAGAAAAGTGAGGTTATGTACTAAAACACTTCTTAAATGTCCTTATTTCCAGGCATTAATGTTAAAATTTCACTTTACGTTCATTTTTACTTTAAAACAAATTGTTACTAAAAAAACTGCAACTTCTTCATAACTATACACACAACCACCAATTTATGTGATGTATACACAGATGTTTGCAGAAAAACACTACTTATACAACAATTAGATCTAACCAACGAATGGTAATATGTACCTCTTTTAGGTATGTCATGTGGCGCCATTATGTGTTCACCGTTAGAATCGAGTAAACCAATTGATCTAATTAACTCTATCACTGCATTGTTACTGTAACTTAGTTTTGCACACATTGCAATATTAATAAATAATCTTTAAACATGATAATTAATAGCAATAATCGAAAGATTGAAACAGTTTACATTTGATCAATCGATTTACATATTTGAATCGAGAATTATCGAAATATATTTACGCGTGGGAAAGAAAATACAATTAAAGCAATAAATCTTCCAAAAGTAATTGTTATATTTTCATAGTTTACAAAAGACGTCACTGCGCGAAGCATTCGTTTCAACAACTATCAAATTAGAACAGTAAATCATTTGCATCGATTCCAAAATACGTATATATCTTTCAATTTCGAGTTTGACAGCGAGTTTCATGTTGCGAAATATGTAGCATGGCGTCTGCGTAGTAGCAGAAACTGTAGTAGATTCGAAAAAATTTCAACTATACACAATTAGCTAAGAAATCAAAGAGAAAATCAGAATGGTTGGATGTAATCAGATCGTGTAACAGAATAGGGCGGACAATTAAGCGATGTGTAAGTTGAATAGGGTGATCGGCATACCGTGCAAACACGGCCCTGGTTTTGGCCACTCAGTAAGTAGTCGAAGTGATATTTTGGTCGAGCTGGGACAGTGGGATGGGATATGATTGCCTTCTCGTATTGCCGTGGCTTGAGACATGGGCTCTCGGAAGAAAAGAGGAAGAGAGACCGAGCAAAATGATCCGAGAGGCTCCGAGGTGTTGGAAAGGCACGATGAAAGACATATGAGGATTCCAGCGGCGAGATAGGATATGCCTGCCGACTATGTTACAGCGAAAATCTTTTGAGGTCCACCTTACGCGTGATACTTCTCTTTTGCCACAGCTTTTTTCGCAGAATTGGCAAATATCGAATTTTGCTGAAAAAAGTCTATAGAAACATTGTTACATTCGTTGATACAAAATATCGTTAATCCACACGATCGTAATATACGGTGTAATTTTATTTTTTACACAAAATGTTATAAATAGAGTATATATAGTCGAAGACGCAGTAACTGTAAAACAAACGCAGGGACTCAAATGAAGTATAAAGTTTAAAAGGGAAGTTGAAATTTTTAAAGGTTCGCGGAGCACGTGGCAGTGTCAACTTCGAACGGGAGTCAAGAAAGACGTCCCTCTATTTACGACATAAGGTAAACTTCTTTAGGTCTCGTGGTTCATGGTCAGTGTCTGTCTTCGGATACTTCACTTGCTCGGACAGTTTTCGTGGCGCTAACAGATATGTCCGTCTTCCTTCCGGCCTCTTTTCTACCATATGCATTTCCATGAAATTGATTTTCAGGATATCAGGATGATCGAAGGACGTTCGAAATTTCTACAAATTTCTACGAGCAAAAGAAGAAAAAAATTGAGCGAAATAAGCGTCACCTTACACAATTAGAGTGACGCGAATCAATGTCGTTAGGATGCATCGTGGATTCGGTCCAGGAAGTAACGCCCGCGTAGAAGAAGAAGAAGAAAAAAAACAGGAACATTTGCCATTTTGGCACGAGGTTAGATTTACGATGAAATCCAATTTTAAATCATATTTGTTCCAAGTCACCTGTCGTCGTGCAATTAAGGAGGATGAGTCGACAGGCGGTAACCCACGGTCATTTTGTTGTTGCTAATAAGACTGGAAACACGGGCTAACGACTATGCTCGTTACTTTTCCACGTCAATTATACCGTTCAATTTGATTAGCCGTACTACGAATCTTTTTTCCTCTAGAATCCTCCAGCACGATTTTCCGACACGATACACGTAAAGATCGATGTATATATCGAATACGGAAGGAATCGGAGGAGAATCGGCGAGGTTAATATTTCACGATATAAATTCGATATTTAAATAAAATGCGCGACGAGAGGAGCAAGAGAAGGGCGGGCGACGACGAAGAAGTTTAAGAAGTAGACAGAGACGAAGGTTGCAGACGTAAAGCATAAACAGTGGAGGTGCGATTTGACGCGCACTCGGGCCATCCAAGGCACATCTCGCTCGCTGAACGTACGCTTTAAGAATCCCGAAGAAGCGACCAGCCCGATGGCTGGAATCTGTAAATCTGTCATTGCAGCCATATTCGTGCGGCTGGTACCGCAGGATATGAACTTCTGCTCGTCGTATACGCCACCGTCGTACGAGACTCTAGATCTACTTACACGCTTCTCTTCTTTTGAGAGCTTTGCACCGAAACGGAAGCCTCTCCCTATCTCTCGAAATAACAAATGTTCTTTTTGTTTTCACAAAGATGACAAACTCTAGGAAACTATTTTCCTTTCTTTTCCTCGAACACTTGAAAAATTTCATCCGAGATAAAGAGAGCTTGCCGATTACGACAGATTTGTGTTTTTCAGTGCATTTTACACGTGTCGCGTAGGTAAATTTTCACTTTTACTGCAACGTTACAAAGAGACATTGTGCTACGTATGAAACGAGTTTATTCATTGTTCTGTCATCTACGCGGTTCTCATATATGTATATACCACTGGCTCTTTTTCAGTCGTGCACTGGTTCACACCGTTTCAACGGTGGCTGCTGGCTCGAGAGTGGAGCGCGGTTCTTGTCGAAGGTTCAAAAACCGTTTGGTTGTATCAAACTGCGTGGAAACTATAAAAGCCCTGGCAGTCGTCGCACCGTATACGCGGTATTCCTTCTGGTAGCTAGCGATGACGGATTCACCTTTTTCTTCCTATTTCTCGCCTTTTTTTCTTCTATCTACTGAGCGATTCATTTGTCGGTCTTTGATCCGAGACCAACAAGCTACTACCGGAAAATTAGCGAGATTTATTAACCAGTCGCCTTCGCTAGATCGCAATCTCTCATTTTATTCCCCTTGCTTTTGGTTTTACCTGTGGCCTTTAATCATCGCAGGATATCGTTCGCTGGAGAGAATTTCTGTTCCAAAAGGACATGTTTGGGTGGTCGAAGGATCTAGTATGTCGAAGGAAAAGTGAAAAATTCCAGATACGTACTTCGTTGGAGGTCCTTCTTGACGGTTGTGCCATCGGGGTTTCTCGATGGGACGCAAAACATAGGTATAGAAACCATGGAAATCGATGTTTCTTTTTTCTTAAACGATTTACCATTTTTTATTATTCTTCTTTAAGATTGTTAGATAGTTAATTATTTCCCTAACGTGCAGGACGTTTTAATTAACGAAGTGCATCGCAAGACCGCCGGTGTTTTCCCGCTTATCGAGAAAGATGTTCTTTCAAGTGGCTGAAGAATAGAAGAAAGGTCTTTGAGGGCAGCTGGTTCGCTGGAACAGAGGTGCCACCAGCAACGCGATGTCACCTAACCCCGTCGGGGGTTAACTTCCACAGGGCTGGCACCTACGAGGAAGATGAAAGAATGAGCGAAGATAGGCCGACGGCCGCTTTTTATTGCCGGCGCCGTCACGCGTCACCGATAAGCGCGGTCTCTCTGTAGACGAAAAGTCTGAGCTTGCACCGGTTCCCTCGAAACACGAGATTTCTTCTTCTTTTTCTTCATTTCTTCTCCATCTTACTGTTAAAAGAAAGTTTCATTTTCTTTATGGACGCGTGCTGAGAATCCCGAAGGTCCATCTGTCTCGTTTCGGGGCGAGATACGATAGAGACGTGTTGGTTATCTGTTCCCTTATGATTTACTCCAGTTAGGGCAAAGTACCAGGTGAAAAGAAAAAAAAAAAAGAGTTAAAAAAGGAAACGAAGGAACAGAACGTAAATTTGGTACAGGAGTAATTTAAACGAGGATAGTTAGTTTGCTCGCTTTGATCCTGCTGTTTCTTCTCTTATTTTTATCCATTGCGACAACCGGTGCAGGTCATGAGCGACTGCAAAACGTTTGGTGAATGCACGAGGGAAGATATTCACCGAGAGTCATTAAGGATACGGTTATAATATGTTTACACAACGAGGTTCTTCGCGTCATCATCAATCATGGGCCACGTCGGTCCATCCGTTTTTCTACGCTTAGGAACCGACAGACTGAGACGCTCGAGTTCCATACCACTTCGCTTCGTTGGCATTAGTTTGTCATTTCTAACAGTCCCGATGTCAAACCACGTAAACTGCTTGGACGTCTAGAGAAACGATTTCGGAGCAGGCAGTGGTAATTTAGTTACATCCTTGACAAATTTCCACTTGGAAAATGGAATTTTTCGAATCGTTCTCGTTCACCGTAGGAAACCAGAAGAAGAAGAAGAAGAAGAAGAAGAAGAAGAAGAAGAAGAAGAAGAAGAAGAGGGGAATATACTTAAGAGGTTGTAGAAGGTTCGACGTTGTAAGTTCAAGTAGAGTACTTAATATTGCGTTCGTGTTTATTTCATCAAGTTTCCCATTTTTTTTTCTTTTTTTTGATTTTTCTTCGAATACGTTGTGTAACACAGACGCACTTGAATTTCTTAATAACAACTGTACTTACAATATGTATAGTAAATTGTGGAAGGAGGAGCGTAAGAAGTTCCGAAGGAAAGAAAGTTTCGAAACACAATGGCACACGATACTTGGGGAATAATTTATTAAGGCACTTAGTAGCCAAGCTCTCTCATGGGTTGTCACGGTGCGTTTACTTTCCCGTCTTGGCTCGAGAGCGTTTTAGGCTCGTTTGGCATTTCAGACACCCTGTATAAATAGATGCACTTTGCTCCTACAAAAGGCACTTTCTTTTTCGACCGGCCCGCCACGGACCTACGACACCAACCGATTTGTATCACGCGATTCGATCATCGTGTATACCACGCGAAACTATCATGTTCTCCCTTATACTTTTCCAAGATCCTTCGGTAAATCATCATCGATCCAAGCATCTTCGACCAATTGTCCACAAGTATTCCCGCCAGTTTCGGTACACACGCTCGATTCAAGAATAAGTACTTTTAAATAAATTAGCAACAATGATAATATACTCGAGGATCTCGCGTTCTTGGATAGTAGAGTAGATATATTTCTCGATCCAACCAACATACCATCATTCTTAAATTACGATTGCTCTTTGAATCTTACTTACAATATTATCATATAGGTACATTACTTACACATAATTTACCGTTACTCTACATGCTATTATGTTTAAACTTAATCGACGTTATCTTTGGTATAACTTTAATTAATGTTCATATATGTTCAGATAAATGTTCATTGCGATTAATTTCTTTATTAAGGCACAATTCGTTAAGCTTGTTCGTTGATACTTATTCTCTATTAACGCGGCACGTTATCGCGGTTTTACTTTGGCATCGATTAAAAAACAAAAAAAAATAGAAACGAACGAATTATCTCCTGCGACACCCAATTTTTAATCAGGTAATATTGCTTTCCACAGATAAGGTATATATTCGTTATCCTCGACCGATCTCTCTCTCTATCAGCAAGCATGTATCGTATAAAACATCTACTCCCACCACTGGATCACAATTGTTCACAAATATATTTCACCGAAAACATTCACGAATAACTCCCGGAGGGGAATTTGAATCTATCGTGGCCCGTATAACGACGCTCCAGGATGTGGATGATGAGGATGCGCAGGGTAATGGACAGAATTCATGTGTGCCGTCGGTTGTCCATGGTGTCCAGGATATGTCCACGGTCCCGTCGCTGTAGCACCGTAAAACTGATGATGTTCTTGGCTGGATATGCTTGGTATTTGCACGGTGGGTATGGTATTCACGTAACTCGACGATAATATGCCTGTGGTTCCTGTAGCTGGTCTCTTTGCAGGATTCTGCATGCTGGAGACTGCAACCGAATCGCACTCGTCGGACTCGCAGTCACGGAAACCTTTCGCGAACGGATTGCTGGCGATCTTCAGCTGTGTGATGCGATGATTCTGGTAGGCGGTCACTGCTGTGAATCGCGTCTCTGGGAAGGTGAACGTTTTAAAGTTCTCGGTGCGTGGATCGGGTGCGGAACCGGGTGGCGAGGGTGCCACCACTACGTGACATCGTGGTTGATAGCGGTGCATCGAATTCAGGATAATCTGAAACGTGAAATAACGAAGAAAGAATATAAATATCGAAGTAGAAGAGATTCTCTTTGGGAAAGTAGAAGTTTTTCTACGATCATCTGGTATATAATCGTCCGATTGGTAGAGATAGTAGTCGTAAGGGGTAAGAAGAGAGGAAGAGGAAGGGGGAATAAAAAGAAAAAGCACACGTGAAGGCTTTCCTTCTTTTAAGAGGAAGGGCCACCGCAGGGGGGCGGTCACAATGTTTGACAGCCACAAGAGACTCGGTGACTAATTAGTGTAAAAACTAACCCCCGACCCCACACTCCGGCAACCCGACACCCTCGTCCTTCCTCTTGCACACACTTACGGGCATATGCTACGGCATGTGTCTCTTTGAATACACAGAAAAAGGAACACGAGAGGGGGAGGCATGGGGAAAGAGAGGGAGGAAGAAGAGTCATCCTTACAATAGAGAGAGAGTGTATGCTTGTGTGGCCTGACACCAGCAACCAGAGTTTTCGACATGCGATTTTCCTCTTTTTCTCGCCCCCTTCTGTTTTCTGGTCGCTGTTACACACTCACCGTCGTTCTACGGTACCTTTTCCACGGGTATTCTTTTGCAGTCTCGTGGAAATGTTACGGAGAAAAACACCGTGAAGTGTTTGAGATTTTCGTGATTCGTAATTTTGTCACGTCCCGTTTCTCTTCCAGAGGAATTTGAATATACGAAGCCGCCAATTAAGAAGCTGAAATCGTCGAGCGTTTCAACGCTGGATTCCAATTTTTTCCCAATACCCGGTGGCACGTATCTCCGAGCGCAATTAAAGGAACAAACTGTTCCGTGACGCGTGAAGAAAGAAGGGTCGCCCTCCGCGAGTCAAAATTCTTTCCGCGGGTGAAGCAATAAATTCTCGAACGGAACGCGAGCCAAACACGAGCGACGGCGTTCGTCAAGGAAGTCCCGTCTGATCGAAGCAGTCGTGTCGAAGGTTTACCGTAGTATCTGCTGTCGAATAATTTACGCGGGAAATTTCAGTCTTTTTTTAAAAAAACGAAAAAGAAATTGAGATCGTACCAATGGTTCGCCTTGTTCTTTTTTTGCAGCTTTTAGAGAATTTTGTCGGTGAGGACGAGCGATTTGCTTTTGTAATAATCGGCGATACGTTGAAGAGCGACGTGACTCTGCAGATTTTGGAGCAAATGGATCAGGATCAAAAGCAACCAAATAGAAATCAGTCCTGAGAGGATGAATTGTGACATGGTGCGTGCGTTTGCCGGATAGTACGGTAGACCGAAGGTTCGCGCACCGTCCTCTCCCACTGATTAGCGACTGACGACGAATCAGCCGAAAGTAAATTCATTAATCGGTATGCCAATACGTATCAACACTGAATCACTTCATTTGCAGTGGTGCCTGACACGTTGAATTTGGCACGGATACATAGGGACGATTATTTTTGGCGCAACTGCAGGTGCATTAGGACACAATGAAGAGGAACGAGGGTTAAGAAGAACGGAACAGAGAGTTTCTCGAGGTTCGACAAGCGAACTAGAGCGCAACAAATTGCTGTTTAAAACAAATTTGTAGATTTTATCGTCTGCGTTTGCTCGACAAGGGATTCCCAATCCGTAGCGAATCTCACGAAGTGACGGTATCTTTTCACGTCGATTGTTAATTCTCCGCGAGATGAAAATTTCACGAAGTCTAAAATGTTTCAAACTTAAAACGCAACTTAGAAACGATAGTGTATATATTCCAAGCAACTGCATGCTTTCTTAAGCCGTATTTACACTTTCGAACGTTATCAAAAGTGAAGAACTCTTTCACGCTGGTGAATTCTTTCGAAAGTCGTAAACACATTCAAGGCTTCGTCGTCTTTTCCCAGGCTTCCACAGGGCTTCGTTTATATTACATATGTTTACGTTACTTTACGCGCGGTATAGTTTCTATTGCCGTTCGTCGTGGCGACAGGAGAGCGGGATTAATAAGGCGCGGACAGGAGAAGATCTACAGAGTACGCAAAGTGGGAGTGCTTTGCTAGAAATGCGACGAAAGCTAATGATAGAGTTCCCGATAGTGGTAATCAGAATCGTAAACGTGGTATTCAAGTTTTGACGTATCGACACGAGACAGCGAGAAATAGGTTTCGCCTTCGAGTTGCTCCGTAATTTCATCGTAGCGTTCCTCTGAAAATCTTCGTTCTCCGTAGAAACGGTCGAAAAAAGGAGTGGAAAGGAAGTCATTGACTGTGGTTTGCTGCGCGATAAAGCTTCATCTGCCAACGAGGCATAAATCTGAACAACGTGTTAAAACAATTATTGCTACTAATTACTCGTAAGACGATAATAGCTTCTAATGGAACCATGCTTCATTGTCGTCCTTTGTAGCCTATATACCGTTCAACGTCCGACGGTTTTTCAACCGAGACAAATTTAAAACGTTCATTCAGTCGAGCACACTTTTTTTCGCAACAATTCAATTGCCCGAAAAGTATAACGCATAAACGAAAGGCGGATCGTTTTACGATCGAGGCTCATTACGCGGGAAAGCGAATGCGTTGAAAGGAAAAAACAAAGAAGAAGGAGAAGAAAGAAAGAACGATGTAGCATCAAGGGACGAATCGTCCCGTAAAAATTTACCACGTGTCGGTCGCGCCGTTGTAATTTCTCGCGGAAGACAGGCTCGTATCTCAGGTCAATTAAGGCGAACTCGTCCGTAAACGACAAACACGTGGAACGCGATACCGCCGGTGCCGCAGAGCTTTCACGTGCATCTCTCATTCTACTTTATCGCGTAGGTGTTCCTTCTGTTCCATCGTGCTCAATGTGAATTACGTTACTCCAAAACTGTCCTCGTCGAGAATTCTCGCAGAGAGCACGTATAGTTCGAATTTGTCGTGTATGGAAAGCTCGAAGAGTAATTTGTATAATAAGAATCGTCGAAATTGTCACTCACGTGTCCGTTATCGTCCAATTGGTTATTGGTGAGTTTCAGCTTGTCGAAGGAAACTGGTTGCTTCATCCAATGAGCGCCGCTCGCCGGACTATCAGGATGCACGTGAATCCGCGGGGGTGAGACTGGATCAGCGCGGCCAGCAACCACCCAAGCGCTGCTGTGAAAAGCGTATCTGTACCTCTTGTCGTCGCAAGGTACGAAATCCATCACCAGCAGGTAATCCGTAGTAGGATCCAAACCAAAGAATCGACACTGGAAGTATAAGAGAATTTTCAGCCCTTTCTACTGCGTGAAATTAACTGTTAAACAATCAAATATTAAGCTGTAATACCTGAAATGTAGGAAACATCCTTCTGCCAGCTTTGGTGACGATCATTTCCGTTCCCAATTGATGGAACTCTTCCCAGAGCGGTTTCGCCTCGAGAGCAGCCCCAGCGCCAACGAGCGCAGGATGAAGAGGCCTCTTCGAGGTAACTTCTTCCGATGAATTCGCGCCATTCTCGCTGGGATGATGGTCGACGTGATGATGATTATTGTTATTGCTGTCGTTGCGAGGTTCGATGGTGGTTGACGAAGAAATCGACGAATTCGGGACGTGTGGAGTTAAAGAAGTCTTTGGTAGATTCGGGCTGCGGGATCGCTTCACTCTTCCCGCAGATTGCAGACATGCTGAAATGACATGAAAAGACGTTGCAGGGAGAATTTTTGAGAAATGTAAAAGATGTAGGAATACCTTGAGGTAAAGGAATACCTTCCATTTGTTGCATCGGGGATGGTACATTGGTCACGGACTGAGAATGATGACCCTGATGATGGGGAGCCCATTGTTGATAACAACAATCAGCGGTGATATCGTGTCGTTGTTCATGTTGCTGTTGCATCCTTATTGATTCTTCTCAGTTGCATCAAACGAGATAGTCCTTGTAGTTCTTTTAATTCGCGATTTATTCGACGATAACTATGAAATTTTAACACTTCTCTCTAGTTCACTTGTAATTTAAAATATTATACTCTCCTTCGATCACATAACATCGAATTTATATTCTTCCGATGAATTTTTCTCTCAAAGACAAAAAAGGTCACGTAGAATCTGCTTCGAACCGATTAATTTCACAATTGAATCACAATCACCGCAATGTTACCATCCCTAACTGAAACAATGAAACTCACAGCACGTTCGAGCACTCGTGGATTTTCTTTTGTTTATAGTGTTTACGAAGGGGCGAGCAATTGGCTCGCATAAAACAATCGGATGGCACGTGGAAACGGGATACCGTTGTCGACGAGGACGACGACGACGACTACGACGAAGCACAAAAAGGAATAAAAAAAAAAAAGAAATCGGCAAGCGTGGACTCGTAGAATGCTTATCTTTCGTGGCCGCTCATTAAGCGTTTCGAGGCAATCAGCGAGGTTCGAGATCCTGAGCGAATATCAGAGGATGCTCGACATCGTCGACGGGCTCTCACACCTCTCGTCAACAGGACTTGTCCTCACCTCGAGATCCGGACGCTGACAAGGGCTTAAAGCCGCGGCGTGAACGCGGCATCGGATGAATCAGAAAGAACTCCCCCGAGTCGACTACACACCTCGTGGCTTATCATCGAGACATCACTCTCCGATGTATGCCCTCTCTCTTTTCACGGCAATCTCCTCCTCTCCGTTCTGCCGGTTTCCTCTCCCTGAGGTAAACCGATCGTGAAACGTGGAGAGGAGGGATCGAGAGGAAGGGAAAGTTTCCACGAGGAAGGAGGGGTTTCTAAAAGATCCTCCTACGCGGACACCCACGCTAGCCTAGCTTGCGTTCACGGGATGCTAACTACATCCTCTTCCTCTGAATCCCGTGCCAAAAGGCGGAGTCTTCTTGGACGGGAACAAACACTCGGGGGTAGTGCGGTATACGTTCTCAGGGACGAGGCGAGACTCCCATGTACCTCGTCGCTAGACCACACCAGGGTTAATTGATTAGAATGAGGTGTTGATTCTGTCGAACCTTGCCACGATCGTAGGAATTAATTTCCTTTAAACGTGAAACGAACATCATTTTCTTACATTTTCTGGGGCCTCTTCTCCTCGTGGCCAATCGTTCTCACTTTGCAAACTGAAATTATTACTGTCCTATTTTTTTCTTTTCGTTTAAATAAAACACGTATTTACAATGGAACTTGATTAGGTATTTATTCAAAAAATCATTATTTCCATGATGATCATTTTTTTTCTTTTATTAGTCGGTAATTATTAAATTTAACAGTACTGTGGGAATGTGCTGCTATTTTCGATATAATTACACACAGATGGATTATGCGATCGTTGTTTGAAATTGCTTACATTTTTTTGTTTTAGATATCTTGGAACACCTCCAGAGATAGAACTTAAAAAAAAAAAAAACAATAACAATTCAGAAGAACGACTTTATTTCTTGATAAAAAGTTCTTCATTCCTTTGGTACATTGAATCACCCTAATTAGAAGAATGTTGTAAGTACAAACACCTATTCGGAAGTAATTACATTTCCAATTCCTGTAATTATTTACAATCGGTGGTTGCGCAAGTTTCTTTATTTATTGTTAAGTTTAAAAACCTACGTTCATTTAAAAGTCTACGTTAAAGATGAATTACTCATATGTAATAGTGCCGGCAATACATGAAATTCCGAATATTCGGATACCTAAATACCTTGCAGTCACGTGTGTATACGAGTTCATGAATATCCGTTTTGACTTTTCAGCACTATCGAATAGTGCCTAACCATATTGTACCTGTTACTTCAGCACGGACGTGAACCCAAGTTGATCTAAGCCGCTATAATACTTAGTCGAAAAATACTCAAAAAGTGTGTTCAGTGGAAAAACGAATAAATTTGTACAATTAAACATTACGAATTTATTATTCGACATTATTCGCAATCGTATCGTTAATAGTACCAGTGGTTCTTCAGGTATGTACATACAAAACGTTGATGAAATAATTGAGGATTGAACTTGAGATGATGTTGTTGTAAAACACTAAAGGAACTTCGTGGAAGTATTAGAAACCGTAATAAATTACAGATACCGAATATGAATGAAAACAAAAGGGGATCGATGAATGTTTTTCGTGTGTTTTATTTATAAAATAGAAATTAATGTACAAGTACAAGGGAGGCAGACATGACGGGTGTTGCTTGTTGCGTTAATTTTTACAGAACAGTACTTTATCATGATTCCTTTTCGTATGCGATTCGTAGTTGTGACATCACTGGAGAAATGGTTCTACATGGGGCATGAAAAGTGTGTATTAAGGGAATGAACAAAATTGATAAAATATAAATGTGTGTACATGAGATTAGTGAAATTATTCCCGACAAATGGGACCGTTAATGTTTGGACGATGAAATCCTTAGAAATCGGGGTTTCTTCTTGCATTCCTCGTTCTTCGTATCATATGTATACATATGCTACTTGCATTATACACATTTACAGCTTGTTTTTATTATATTATTTCTATCATTACGTTTCTCTCTCGAAAAATTAGTAACCACAATAACGTCGAGTCAAATCCAGAGAAGCTTCACGGATACGACACTTTGTATACAGATGTAAATGAGAAATGTATGACTTTTTTTCTTTTCTTTTTGTTCTAAAAAACCTTCATTGAAAACCATTTTTTCACTGAACAACTGAAACATTTTCTTTTTTTTTTTTTTTTACGATTTATACAAATTTAATTACAAAAGCGCTTTCTACAAAAACGGTCTCTCTTTACGAAAGTTGTATCTGTATGTCGTTTACAAATTTTGTGCAATTTACAGAAACGTAACAAAACCGAAATGATGTATCACATTCGAAACATTTGTCGTTCAAAACCACTATCTACTTGATATTACGTTATATATATTAACAATCTCATTAATAAGGTATGTATGTATGTCATCAAGGCGAAAAATGGCATAACAAAATTGTCCCCGGCATTGTATCAATTGTATCATGCCATATTTTCTTATCAGTGATATCGCAAGTGGTTCCAAAATTATTCATCCTACACAATTATCAGGAAAAATGAGCAAAAGATTTAGAATGAACTTGTCGTGATCTTTTCTTACAGTTTGTAACGATATATTCTTCTAATATAATTTCATAGTAGCCGTCACGAATTTCTAATCTAATCTCGTGTAATCGAACTTAATATTAATTTTTTCTTTTATAGACACCCATTTAATAGCATTTTTTTCTTTTTACTTGGAACTGTTCTATTAATGAAGAACTTTTCATTATTTCCTTTCGCTTAGCAAACTATGCCCCTCCGGATTTCTTTCCTGCGTTAAAATGTCATCGTAAATGGCTGAGCGGAATTAATGATAAATTCGAAAATAATATGGTAATAGCGTTGATAATAATAGTAGCGATACTAGGAGAAATAATAACAATAACATCTTTCCTCTTACAAGAACTTAATGTCTTAAAAGATGGTGGGTTTTAAGGGAGTTATTTTGAAGTTCTAAACGTTGCGTTCAAAAAAAAGAAGGGTGAGAAACAAATCTAAGGATTTCACTTCTTCTTGTTTTTGTTATTTCCACCACCTCGTGGGGGTGTCACTGGTCTATTTGCATTCAGGCCACCGTACGATAACTTCTTCTTGTCAGCTGGTTTTAGAATTTGGAAACTGCACATAAGAGTTTCATCCACGGACATCATAGCTCCGGCATTATCGAATTCGCCACAATAGTTTGGTGCTGAGAACAGAGTTACTAACTGCCTCTTTGCGAAAAATTCATAGCCATCTTCTACCACCTAAAATTTTCACAAATTATCAGTTAACAATTTTCCCATTTATCACATAACGGATAATTGTTCGTTAAATCAAATGCTAGGTTAAATTAGGCAACGATAGGTTTAAAAAGTAGATAGTTAATCGGATAATGTGCTAAATTTAACAATATTACATATATCGTGACATAGATACCTGATGCGCACGACATATGAGGTCAAAGTCATGCTTATGTAAAAATTTGGCAACAACTTCGGCTCCAAATGTAAATGATACACCGCGATCGTTTTCTCCCCAACCCATGGTATCTTTGTCTGGATCTGACCACAATAAGTCACATAATAAGCCTTGATCAGGTACATCTGTTGGTCGCATGATACGTCTGATCTGTTCCATGTTTTGAAGATCTGGACTAAGACCACCGTGGCAACAGAATATTTTTTCATCCACTATTGCTGCCACAGGTAAACAGTTGAAGCAATCCGTAAATGTCTTCCACAGTTTAATGTTGTATCGACGTTTGCCTGTACAATATCAGAACATCAATGGTAAGAATACAATATTTTAACATAATTAGTCACATTTGAATCTAGTTTCTTACATTCATCATAAAATCCATATATCCTGTTAATGGATGCACATTCATGATTTCCACGAAGTAAAAAGAAGTTCTCAGGATATTTGATTTTATAGGCAAGAAGAAGACAAATTGTTTCTAAGGACTGTTTTCCTCTATCAACATAGTCTCCTAAAAAAAGATAATTGCTCTCTGGTGGAAATCCACCATATTCAAATAACCGTAGTAAATCATAATATTGCCCATGAATGTCACCTTGAAAAAAATGAATATTCTTAGTTATTATCAATAGTTTTTTACATACATAAATGGGAAAATAAAAATAACAGTAAGCAGCAACTTACCACATATTTTAAGCGGTGCTTCAAGCTCTAATAGAATAGGTTGTGATAAAAAAATTTCACGTGACTTCAGACAAAGTCCTTTTATTTCTCCTTCTGTCAATTGTACATTTTTCCCTGGCCTAGCTCCCCGCACTAGAAAAATAAATTGCCTCCATTTAAATACAATAGAAGTTTATCCTCAAATTATTATAGTTAAATACAAATAAACAGTAAATTCTAGAAGCAGTATATCAATACATATGAAGAAACAATAACACTTCCCAAAAGAAATACAGGTAGCTTGTACTGAAAGGACATACATGAAGTAACCTGCCTAATATATATTTGTATTCTTGTGTATACCAATAAACTATATTTCGTTTATTATGGTAACATAGTTAAATGTTGTAGGACAAATTATTGGGTGAACCAGCTTCATCTATTAATACATTTAAAAGACTTTAAAAGCTAAACGATACAGGTCTGCAAAAGTAAAATTAAAAGCTACAAGTACATTGTACCGATCGTTCGAAATACAGACCGAAGCCTTGTCCAAAAAATAATGGTAACTGTTACATATTGTCAATTACGCTTCATGTAAACAAACAATTGTAGGTTCATCCATTGTATTTAAGATCATTTGTATTTAAAGAAAGTTGCGTAATCGATCAAAAAAAACAGACAGGAAGAAGGAGGAGGAGGAGGAGGAGGAGAAGGAGTAGGAGGAGGAGGCGGTAGAGGAGGAAGAGGAGGAAAAGAAGCAAGAAAAATAAAAGGCGCCATTTTTTATTTTAGATAAAATTGAGCAGCTTTACCTTCCAAGAGCCGAGCTATGATGTTGTCAATATTTAGTTTGTCGGATTCAGCCATCGGGCCGGGGTTTTGTGCGCGTCCCGGGCTTCACACGGAGCACCTTCTTTTGGGGATGACTTTTGATTTTCTTGGATTTCACTTGCGTGGCACAAAGCACTCAATTGCATTCGCGGTTTCGGACAATGTACCCGCAATGGCCGCCCGGACAACCGCGCACTCCACTCCCTTTTACCCCCTCTCCAAATTCGAGCTCTTCCTGTTCGATAGGATTCGAGTACTCGATTTATCGAACATGCTCTATGCAATTTTTACGACAGCACACCAGTAACTTCAGTATTACCAATTATTCAAATTTTTACATTTAACTTCGTAAAATTACTTCCACTTGACTGATTAATCCAAATGTATCGATTAGAAATAATTTAGATTATTAGAGAAAAATAATAAGTGGATTTTCATTGAGAAGAAAATTTAGATTATGTAGAAATACAAATAACACTATATAGAAAATTTAGTGATGAAATAGTTAATATCTAAATTCCCTGAAATATTTCAAATTATTCCATCTCTTCAATTTCATTTACTTTAGCAAAATGGAAAATGATACATTTAGAAATAGTTATGATTGTTGATTTACTTTAAAAGATTTGTTCGGCAGGTAGTTTTCATCCAATAGGGAACAGTGAAGGTAGACGGTTACCATTTTAAACATATATCTATGAATTATCATGGAGGTCTATCACGCAATATCACGGTTTGCTATCAAACAGGTCGAAGTTGACGGTATTTGATAAGCGATCGCAAAATTGGTTTTACAAAACTGATAGAAAGATGCCAGAAAACGTGGTAAATATGACATTTATTTCTGTAGCCTTGTGTTACCGTTATATGATACATAGATAAATAAGATTTCTATGATTTCTTTCAAATTTTCGACATGACGCTGTAGGTTATATTGTCGCGTCCGTTAGAAACAAAGCACGATATATCAGTTGTATACTTTTGTTTAATTTTAAAAATGTTTCGCATTTATTAAATAAAATTGTCAAAACAGACATTTATATCGTATAATTTTTACAAATGTTTTATAATCCTTTAAGTATGGGTAAATAGAAGTGATTATTTTTTGTTCGTTTATAGCTGAATGGGGATCATGTGGAAGTAAAGACCGCTAACTGCGAAACTGAAGATAACGAAGAAGACAGCAATGATGCAGATGTACATTTTGAGCCTATTATTTCTTTGCCATTGATAGAAGTGTCCAACAATGAAGAAGATGAAGTTGAAATGATAAAATTGTAAATTACTTCTGTTAAGATGTGTTAATCTATATATTATAATAATTTCGCATTATATGCATATTACGTTATTTTTAGGAGAGCAAAGTTGTACCGTTATGATTCTTCTAATAATCCTGCAGAATGGAAGGAACGTGGAACAGGGGAGGTCAAATTATTAAGACACAAAATAAAAAATACAGTGAGAGTTGTAATGCGTAGAGATAAAACACTTAAAATCTGTGCTAATCATTTTGTAACTCCTTGGATGGAATTGAAATCCAATTGTGGTAGTGACAGGGCATGGGTATGGAGTGTGCTTGCTGATTATGCAGATGAACAGCTTAAACCAGAACTATTAGCTATAAGATTCGCGAATGCAGAAAGTAAATATACTATTGATACGGATGAATATACAGAAGGAAAATTTAAAGCATCATTATTAATTCTACTTTTTACTACAGATGCAACTGTTTGGAAAGAAGCATTTGAAAAGGCAAAGAAGATAGTGGGCTCTGAATGTGAAATATATGCTGGCAAAAATAATACCGAAGAAAAACATACTGAGAGTGATAGTGAACCTTCTAGTGATGTAAGTTATAGTGAAAGTACTGATAATGAAGAACAAGGTAAAAAACTGGCTGGAGAAGATTTAAGAATTGAAAATAATGAAACTGAAAAAGTGGAAGCTTCTGAAAAGCAAACACAGGATGGAGAAAGTGTGGACAAAGTATCTAAGGATCTTGAGCAATTGCAAGTTAAGGATGTAGAGGAAAAAAAGTAAAAAGCTACATCTCTATAAATTGGAGGTGTTAACTATAAGTGCACATTCCGACATAAACATACATGCATGCATATGCTTAAGTATTTGACCATTGAATTTAATGTAGAAAAATATTTTAGCAACAACGTTAATAGACAGGTTAAACAAATTTTCAAATTTATAAACAAGATAATATTTATACGATCGTTATATGTTATCTGTGATTTCTTAATGGAGAATATTTTAGCATTTATACTACAATGAAGAAAAATGAAAACACGCGTTAAATTCAATGAAAATGAGACATTTATTCGATTGCAATATTATTGGATTTCTTTTAAGTATATCTTCTGATATATGTTTTTATATGTTTCTATATTTGGATACAATCATCGAAGTATAAAAAATTGATTGTTTACAGTAGCATTTTTTAAATTGTGAAACTATATTTTAAAAATTTTTTATTTCCTTTTAACATTTTTCCCAATCTTTTCACAATTATGTAAATTACAGTTTGAAATATTGGAATGTTCGATGTAAAGACTAACGACATTTTTGTCGGTCGTATTATCGGTTTCAGTTGTAAAAAATGAGCTGTAAAATATTGCAATTAAAACGATTGGTAAATATTCGATTTTAATACGATGCTATTTTTACAAAAGCATACACAATAAAATTTCTGATACTGTTTTGTAATAATTTCTTCATAATTCGTCTCTGTATAAGAAAGAATGGAGGATATTGCGTTTCTCTTCCATTGTGCGTTTCTTTTCATTTGATAGTTTTCCTTTCAATATACCCTCTATTCTCGTTTGTTCTGTTTGAACAAAGACATCTCCCCTTTCTAATATTCTTTCCATAGTTTTAACATAAACTTTTGCGGCCGCGCGTTGTGTCTCTGGTAATGTTTCCTCGAAAACTTTAGCTTTGTTCAATATTTCCTATGAAATAAAAAATAATTATATCTACATGCTTTTATAATAATTTTATAAAGTGTGTTATTTCGTTACAGCAAATATTACCATTCTATCCTTTTCTCCGCTGGTCCTAAACTCCTCGGCAAGTCTGTCCAACTGTTCTACACAGCCCGGTAGACCAAGATATACGCCAGACTTTATTTTAATAAATCGTTTGATACTGTCCGCGGTGAAATCATTTTCTTTCTCTGGAACGAACGGAATAGGTTCCGTTTTTCCTTGTAAAAACAGAAGAACAGCGGGAAAAGATTCGGACTTTATTCCATACCGAGCAGCGAGATCGGAATTATCTTTATTGCCATAATCCTTCACTCTCACTTCGCCTACTAACAGATCGTGAGAATCCTTCGTGGCTGCGGCTATTTGCGCGTACTGTTCATGCTTCTCTCCGTATGGAAATGGCATATCAAATTTAACGACCGCAGCTTTAAATTTCGGTATTACCTGCATTATAAATATTTAACTTATAATCTAGACCAAGAATGAAATATTAAATATGAATTATCTTTTATAAACGTATTATCAAATATTTATGCGATACGCTTACGAATCTATAGCACATTTATGAAGAATAAACAACGTCTATTAATCGATGTAGTAATCGTTACTTTATTTAATTTATTTAAAAAAAACTTTTTAACATATTAAGGTATATCTACAATATTTTCACGTTTGCTCATAAATTCTTTCTACAGATTTCACATTAAAAATATCGTAACAACTTGTTTAAGCGTCCAGTAACCATGACAACAAATTATCTAGTCGAAGAGATGAAGAAAACAAAAGGAATTCGTCGAACAAGTATCGTTCTTTAATTTGCAGCAACTACTTTGTAGCTTTACTTAACACAAGTATAATCCAATGAGTAAACTTTGTATTTCTATAAAAAATAAAGCACGTAAATATATCTGCAAAAATTAAGATACCTTGTCAAAGGAATATGTGTCCAGAGAAACGCATCCTTTACAATCTTCGCCAGCGACAATTCCGATAGCAAGAAGGAGTACTGTAATTGACGGAAGCATGTTACAACTGACGAGACACTATGGAATTCTTTGAATATATTTTTTCACTCAAGAAATGGTAATTTTTCAAATGAAAAATTCTTTGACGTTTTGCGCGAGGCGGGTTACGTATCAAACCAATTTCTCAATTTATCGCTCGTTCTGATAAGATTGCCAGCCAATCATACGCAGTAGTAAGTTAAAAGGGAGGAAAGCGTTTTTTTTCGCACGTAGAAAAAGCAGAATGGTTATGCCGGACGTTCTTTCGTCGTTGTCGTTCGTAACTAACCTCACACGTTACAGTACGACGCGTCTTGAAATACAGGTGAAGCAGACGCGGCGCATTGGCGCCGTCGAATCAGAGAAGGACACGAAGTCGCGTGTTACAGGATATACATACGTCGCGATCTGGGATGTTGAACCGCGCAAGTGCGGCTTACGATGACCTGTAGTCATGAGAAATTTTCAAGCTTAGAAATTGTTCGAAAAAATGAAATGTAAAATTTAACCTATCCTGAGACGTCGTATATCTTTATCAAACGTCCAGTAGATAGGATTAAAATATTTATCTAACAAACGTCATTTCTGGTACAATCGTTTCGTTAACATATGCTCACTTTCATATTGGAAAGTGCATATAAAACGTAATACGTCCTTTCGTCAGAAATCCGAAATGATAACCTAATATTTCCGGTAGGGTCCAAGTTCGGAAAGAATTCGATTCGTTCGAAATCTCTGATTCATTTGCGATGTTTATGGAAACGGAGAAAATATTGTAGCTCTACTCGTCAAAATTATAAATGTACAGATATCGAGTTCTATCGTATTAAGTACACTGTTATTGGCAGGCTTACAAATTGTACCGATACAGAAAAAGAGATAAACGCAGAAGCACGAGGAGAGGAGAGGGATGAGAAAGGGATGGACGGATTAGATAGAATAAAAAGAAGGAAAAAAAAATTGACGAACGAAAGTTGAGGAGTTAATTGGTATAATTATACACGTTCGTACATATACGACTGCACGATCGTAAGAAATTTCTTGTTGACAGAATATGAAAACAATATTTCCGTCAATGTAACAATGTATACTAAATTCGTTTAAATTTATCGGCTCTTAAAAGCTCGTATATTAATTTGTCGTTTTTTTTTCCTTCGTATAATCGGATCGAGAAATAAAAGGAGAAAGATGAATGTTTTGTATGTATGTCCCAGTTTAAATCTTCAGCTGCCAAAGAACCAGAGAATCGTTGTTCTACTTTTGTAAAATGCATTTGTGAGATATACGATAGTATTAATGTGGAAACAGTAAGTAATGATACGCGATGATGAAAATATTCCTTACCTTTGACAGATTTTTTCAAACATTAAAAAACGTCGAAGTACGTGTAATGCTAAATTATCGTACAGGTATAATTTCGTAAAAAGTAACGGACACGATTTAATCGTTAACTAAAAAGAAAAAAAGAAAAAATATACTTTACAGGAATCTCGTGTCGAATTGAAACTCGACCCCGTCCGATTGAAACAAAATCGCAGCGTGCGATCGATTTGAGGTCAAATTACTCAATGAGAAAGACGTATCCCTGTGGCGTGTTCGTCCCGGAAGCGGGGAACGCGAATACTAACTGAGGTATACCGGCCGGAAGGTGTGTATGGTGGATGTCTATAGGAGAAACAAAAAGTAGAAATAACGAGTGTTTAGTCGACTGCAAAAGTGTAGAAGGGTGGCGAACGATGTGAACAGAACGTATGGGATGCAGAAGGAAGAGAGTGGGAAAGGGAGGGTGTTAGTCACTAGAGAACAGGTATCCGCCGTAGGCGTCGTACGTTCATTGATAAGCGTATAACGCCCCGTGCCTTAGACTCATGACGTCACTCAATCGCACGGACGCCTGCGCTTCTGTCAGGGCCGTGCCTATCGCGCGGTTCTTGCCCCCACATTTTTTTTCTACTCACCTTCTCAACTACGTAAGTCAGTTACGACTTTTTCACGTAGTAAAACAGCAAGTTGACGTTTATAAAACATAAATACTACAGAAATTTCACGTTTCACGTGACGCAGCCGTACACCATTGCCGTTCTATATACCGATTAATACCGCTTGGGGAATATATGATAAGAAGGAAGTAACTTTGCATAAAACTTATTAACGATGGTACAATTACGCTGTAACTTATGTAAATATTAATGGCTTTCGAACAGAGATTCTCCTTGTACGGTCCTAGAAACGTTACGAGTATCGTGCTGGTTATCACAAGGATAAGAGGGAGGAGGAAGACGGAGGAGGAGGGGGTAGAGAGAGATTGTCGGTAATTTAATGGATTGGAAAATTTTCATGCATCTCGGTTTTTCTTCGCAATCCCCTGATATTACGAATAGCTTGATTTCTTCTCCCCGTTTCTTCTTCTTCTTCTTCTTCTTCTTTTTTTCTCGCCTCTTTCTCCATTCTGGTTGGTGTTTGTTCCGCTGAAAAATAAAACGAAATGAAAAGCAGGTATACACAGAATGGCGAGTGAAGAGAGAAAATAGATTCGTAGAGGCGGAGTGTAGATGGACGTAGGCACACTGGATAAGTGGATGGAAAGAGAGACAGAAAGGCATAGGAGGGGAAAGTCAAAAGGGGGGCCAGGAGTGATAAAGAGAGTGTGCAAGAGGTAGAGGGGGAAGGGAGGAGGAAAGGGAAAGAAAGACGGTTGAAGGAGTAAAAGGAGAGGGAAAGATCGGTGGATCGTCTCGCGCGTATTGATTGGTCTTTTGTGAAAGCTACACCCCCATGTAGCCACGAGACGAACGATTCTGTAAAGTCACTAGACTTCCAGGGTGTATCGCGTGTTCTCGAGGTTACCTATTCCAGTACGCCATGTTTGCTTTTCCTCGATCGACACACTTTTTCTTTTCCGTTAAAATCATCTCGTCGAATAATCCGAAAAAGATAGTCGAACGTACCGTTGGAATCGATATCTTGAATCGACAAGCTTATTCTCGATAGGTGTATCGGAGAAATGTGTAGGGTAAAGAGGAAACGTAGCTAGGTTAGGGTGCTATATCGAAGGGGGGTAGAAATGACGTAAGCGATCTCTCGCGATCCCTAGCAGCGAAGGGGTTCTATATCGGCATCGATCGCAGAGTGACCCATATCTGGTGGTGACGGGAGTCCCTACCCCTGGCTGCTTTTCCAGCGGCACACACACCACCCCCCCTCTCCCCGTACCTCACCGCTCTCTCTCTTTCTCTCTTTTTCCCGGTCCTCCATCCCCACCAAACGGCAATACTCCCGCCAGACCCGTGTCTACCCCCACTCGTTGCCCCTTTCTCCGGTGGACGAGCGAATATACCTCCTCCCCCGATTTCCAGCAGCCCTGCCGCCTGCCTTCCACGGCCGAGCAGATCTTGGGGCTTGTACGGGATGATAGCCGAGTGAAAAAGCTCGCGAGTCCCGTGAAGTTCGCTCATCAGCAGCAGCAGCCCTGGCCTGCCACAATCCCTTCGACTCGGTTATCGTAAGTGTCGTGCATCCCCGTGAACGAAACGAAACGAAACGAAAGCGAGATCGTGAACTAGCCAAGTACGAGAGATTGTGTAAGATTTGAATGATAAAGGCAGAGAGGGAGGAAATTTGAACGGGGATAAAGAGAAAGGTTCATTAGGCATCTCTGACTGGGAAAATAAACGAAAAAAGGAAGATAGAGGGAAAGAATGTGTGCGTGTACGTGTATGAGAGAGAGAGAGAGAGAGAGAGAGAGAGAGAGAGAGAGAGAGGTATGTGCGTAATGCGTGTTTGCGTGAGAGAAAAGAAATTTCGTTACGACAATACGATAAGTGTTGGAGTGCATCTATAAAAGTGTCGAAGCGTCGAAGGTTTCCTCGAGCTCTTATAAATGTCATTGAAAGATAGATTTCAAATTTTCGACGAATTTACCCCCCCTGAAGCTCGAACGAGCTAGAGAGTTATTCTTTTTCACGGTATCGTTGCAACGTACGAAGAGAAATTGTTGTAGAAAACGAAACAGGAGGAAAAAAGCTGAGAAAACATGACCTAGTGAGAAAGGGGAATAACGTAAGAACAGTGTCAGTGAGGAAATGGAGACGTTGGTGGTGGTAGTGGTGGTTGGTGGTGGTGGTGGTGGTGGCGGCGACTGTGGCACACGGTTATCATCGAATGACACGACAATTGGTATCGCCTAATGAAACACAGATCGAAGGGTTCCGCTAGATGTGTCGCCGTCGCTGGTGCTCGTGGTGATAGCAATAGTCAGTTCATAGTGATACAGTGGATGCACTACGTATCGTCGTGCAGTGGTGTCCCGTGCGCACCGGGTGTATATGTATACTACGTACCATTGGTAGTGAGATCAATAAGCAGTGCCGTGCCACTCGACCTGTGCCTACGGACGGAAACTCATTCTAAATCTCTCCTTCCTTCTTTCACCTCCTCTTTTAAACCACCAACTCCGGTTACTCTTTCTTTTTCTATTACAACCGAATGTCGAGAGGTCACTTTCATTTGTTTCCTTTCTGAATTTTTTATCGTGTCTCGAGCGACTAGAAACGAGTGTCCTTTCTTTCGACGACCAGGCCATTGGTCCGCTGTTTCAGTGTGTTCCTATGCGTGTGCCGGTGTCCATTCGTTCTTTTCTGCCCCGTGGCTTTCGTGCTTCGCATACTTCCACTGCTCTTACACGTCGAATCGTTCTCGAATTAATCGGTAGGTTTCATCTTCATTCATCGTTAACACGTTACAGTTACTATTCAGTTTTTCTTCCACACCCCTCTTGGGTTCGCTAGATTTTACATTTTCGTCCTCTTTTTTTTCTTTCTTCCAACTTCTGCGCTCTACCCTTCTTGGTTTACGACGGACTTGCGTATCACGAGATAGATTCCACTGGATAAAGTACCCATCGGAGATAGTATCTGATTCATTCATAGTAATTAACGGATATACCATTTACGTCTCGTTTCTTCGTCGTAATCTGACAGTAGATCGCACCGTTTTCGATCAGACAGTATCGATGCACGAAGAGAAACTTGTAGCTTTTCACGGTACAAGTTGTAACGTGTGTTGTACATGTTTGAAACATCGCGGATTATATCGCACGAAATAAAGAGGGAAGAGACGTTCTTGAATTCGATGCATATCGTAGATAGATGTCGTGTCGGTTATACCATACGTCTTACCACTTGCGCGTGAAATTCTTCGCTGGATTAAGATGTCTCGCCTGGCCGTGACTGGATCGTTCGAGTGTGATGATTGGAACCGGTGAAATTGGTGCGACCGATATCGTGAAATATAAATGAAATCTTCCACGGTGAAAGTTCTCACCTTCGACCTCGGGAACTTGAATCAAGGTGACGCGTTTGAAAAAATAGCATGGATTATTTTTTCACTCGAGGAACAGAATCACGCTTGGACAGTTTTTTTCCCACGACACATTTTCCTTGTCGCACAATCGAACGAGTTGAGAGAGTGAGCGAGAGAGAGAGAGAGAGAGAGAGAGAGAGGGAGCGAACGACAGGGAGAAAGAGAGAGAGGATGGTGTTTATTCGTGTTGGTTCAAGGGACAAAGCAAACCTTGCGAGGTTTGATTAAAGCTGAACATGTTGTAAGGTGTAAAAATGTCAGGGAAACAGTGATTGCAGTGAACCAAAGTATCCTTAATTTTTATTCCTTTTATCGCTTCTCGTATCACGACTAATATTTTCATTTTCTCATTGTGAAAAAGCAACCATTTGAAATTTATTCACCGTAATATTTGAAGTTTCCTCAACGGTTAACTGTAATACTTTGTCATCTTGTTAGGAAAAATTAAGCTCCGACCGGTATATTCCTCGGCAATGATGTAAGAAAGAAACCTATTCGATTACTTAAACGCGGTAGTTTGGAATAAAAGAAATTGTTGATCGCTCGATATTCCGGTAATTTCAAACGCAAAAATGAACACAGGCTATGATCTCCGTTTCTTCCATCTTCGACCACATGCATTTCAAGTACGTATCTACAGAACAAAATAGACAAATACATAAGAAAAAGCATGAAAAGTCTCTATCAACGATCTCGTATTCCGAAAGCGCCGACGAATAGTAGGGAACCGTTAATTGCACACGCGTGTGCAACCGTCGTTTTTCTACTCTCGTTTTCGCGCGTGTGTTTCGTATTCGTGTCGAAAGTAAGACGGTGGGCATTTGATTCTTCCCGGTAGCAGAATGTCTAGAATCGCGTCATAGGGACAGCGTAATCTCGCGAATAGAGAACAATCAACGCGCGTCGATAAATTTCGTATAAAAATATCGCACACAGTTCTTGCGTTCTACGCTCGAG